AACCAGGACTGAACCTAAACCTGGAACCATCCTCCTGCGTCAGATGCCCTTCCATGGAAATAAAAATGGAAATAGTTGGAGTCTTATGAGTTTTATGCCATATTGTGGAATATTATAGTCAGAGGAACAGCATTTCCATGGAAACAACCAATCAGGTTTGTGGAGATGCGAGCCCATCCACAGTCAGGACATATGCTTTTACATGCCTTTATTTCCACCTTGTGATGTCATGTGATGATACAGGAAGTGCTCCACTGTGTTTTAAAACTCTGTACACCTTCACTAGAATAATTTGGATCATTTCAGCCCTGGAATTGCCAATTTCTACTGAACTAAAGCTAAAAGGAGCTGTTCACTTGAAACCTACCACTTCATGACATCACAAGGTGGAACATGAAGGTATCTGGTGCTCTTGTGGGTTGAATGTACCTTTCTGACTTGTAACTCCCTCCCTCTGTCGATCTTTTCTACATCTATCTCCATTCCCTTCGACCTCTGCCTTCTCTCTCCCTCAGTAGACCATGTCCTCTCTTCTTCCTCGTCCTCGTCCTCTCCTCCTCCTCTTCCTCTTTGTCTCCGTCCTGTCCGTCTGTCAGGCTCGTGTGGTGTCTCGCTGTGAGCTTCGTGACGAGCTCCTCAAACGCGTCCATCTGCCCCGAAACCTCCAGAGGAACCCGGAGCGCGCCCTGGCCAGAGGTACAGGCCTCCACTGCACCACTCTTCCTCCTCTGCATGACCTCCCCACCCTCTGCATCATTCTTCCTCCTCAGCATCATCACACCATCCTCTGCTTCATCATTTCATCCTCTGTACCATCACTCTCCATCCTCTGCATCACTTTCCTTCCTCTGCACGTCCGGCAGTGTTGTGCAAGTTCACACTTTTCATGAACTAGTTCAAAGTTCAGTTCATTTTATATTTAGATAAGATCTGTAAATGAAAGGCTGCTTTTATTTTTCAAACTGACTTCTAGTTTACAACAACTTTACAAGATCCACTGTTGGACAAGTGACTTTTAAAACTGTAATGTGTTATTTATGACTTGTTACTGTCATTTCAAAGTCATTTGTTACATTACAATATTACTGTATTTAAAATGTAAAACATAACACGACTATTGCAGCACTTTTAATTTACTCTCACCAAAAGAACTGTTAAGATGCTGAACTTTTGCGCCGTATATGGACTGAACCAGGACTAAACCAGGTCTAAACCAGGTCTAAACCAGGACTAAACCAGAACTGAACCAGGTCCAAACCAGGACTAAACCAGGTCTAAACCAGGACTAAACCAGAACTGAACCAGGTCTAAACCAGGACTAAACCAGAACTGAACCAGGTCTAAACCAGGACTAAACCAGAACTGAACCAGGACTGAACCAGGAATAAACCAAGACTAAACCAGGACTGAACCAGAATTGAACCAGGTCTAAACCAGGACTGAACCAGAATTGAACCAGGTCTAAACCAGGACTGAACCAGGACTGAACCAGGAATAAACCAAGACTAAACCAGGACTGAACCAGAATTGAACCAGAATTGAACCAGTGAACCAGGACTGAACTAAACCAGGTCTAAACCAGAACCAGTGAACCAGGACTAAACCAGAACTGAACCAGGACTAAACCAGAACTGAACCAGAACTGAACCAGACTAAACCAGGACTCCAGAATGAACCAGGTCTAAACCAGGACTGAGAATGAACCAGGTCTGGATTGAACCAGGACTGAACCAGGACTAAACCAGGTCTAAACCAGAACTAATCCTGGACTAGAACTTGGAATCTAGGACCTCCCCTGAGAGAACCCCGAGTGCGATCGGGCGTCAGCTGCGTTTATCTCGGTGGAGCGCGGACTTCTGCGTCGGTCCTTTCGCTCAGGATCACGGTCTACGCGGGCGCACCTCCGGCGTTTCACCGCTGCTGATATCGCGGTGATTTTAGCAAATTTGTATGAAGAAAAACGAAAAACCCACCATTTCAATCCAGGTTAAAAAAGCATTGTGACGCGCGTTACTGACATATGTATAAAGTAAAATAATACGTGTAGATTTCAGAAAATAGGATCCATCCTATTTTTTGACGCTGTACGCGAGCGTAGGCGCGTATCTCCGTCAAAATACACAGAGAGCATGTATCTATTGTTGTATTTGTGCATTTACCATCAGCACATTGTGCTCCCTGGGCAGTTGTGTATCATGTGAAAGAGCCCAGATCCACATACACTGTTAATTAGTGCTTTGAAATTTACTTTTGAAATCCTTGCGTTTGCCGTGGTCAGCCTGTACAGAAGGTAAATACAAGCAGCTAAACGCGCCCAGTCAAGTTTGATTGACTTTCCCATTGAGACACAAGAGCCCGTACGTTCCGCTAAAGCTGCCGGTGGAGTCGCCTTCGTGTTGACACGCGGCTGTTTTTTTTTTTTTTGTTTTTTTTTTTTAAGCAGGAATCATGCCGATGTTTATTGTCAACACAAATGTAGCCGGAAGTGAGGTGACTGATACCTTTCTCTCAGAGGCAACCCAAGAGCTGGCCAAAGAGATGAGTAAACCTGTACAGGTAGTCTCCTTTTTTTTTTTTTTTTTTTTTTTTTTTTTTTTTTGTGATTACTATTCAAACATTTTATCGTACAACATGTACAAATAAAATAAATAAAAAGTTAAGTAATAAAAAAGAAAGGAGGGGGAAATAAATAAGGACAGGAAAGGGGGAAATGCTATACATTCACACTAGGGGGGGTCAGAGTTCAAGTGAAAGCATTCAGAGCTGTACAGATCTCCACAGTCTCGAGTGCCTTCTGTTTCTTGGAGAATTTAATTGAAAGAATGTATTGTTTGAAACTATTGTAGAAAGCGACAAAGGTTGGCCTCTTACCAGAAAATTTACATGAGTGGATATGATACTTTGACATTAATAATAATAGATTAATTAGGTAGATCGAATTTTTTTGTAATTGAGAATCAAACAAGCCAAACAATACATTCTTCCAATGCAAAATAAAGTGTTTATCAATGTAATTGTGAATATAGTCACACAATTTCTGCCAAAAAATTACTACAGTTTGACAATTCCAGAACAGATGCACAATAGTTTCAGGACATTCTCTACAAAGGCTACATTCAGAATCAATATTTTTCTTAAATCTATTTTTGATATAAGTTTTAGTTGGGTAGAACCTATGGATAAGTTTGAAGGATACTTCTTTTATTTTGTTAGTAATTAAATACCTGTTGGGTAAAAGCCAGACTTTCTTCCATGGTATGTCATCCACAAACGACACGCGGCTGTGGTTTCGCGAGGTGAAGTGCGAGCAGATCGTCACTCGTCAGGTGAAAACAAATTCCGACGTTTAACTGAACCCCAACAGTGACGTACGTCGTTCATCACACATAATTTGAACAAATTCACGTTCAAGTTCTTGATTTACAAAAGTGTTGCGTTCAGTTCAAAGTTCACTGAAAAATGAACGCGTTCTTTTGAACTCGTTCATGCACAACACTGACGTCCGGATGCCCTCCCGCAGCAGAGCACAGCCCCTCGCCCGCTCCCTGTATCGGCTCAGCTCTGCTCTGTAGTTTGGTTTGATGTGGATCTGTACAAAAGCTGCTCATTTACAGCGATGTCCTAAAGCGTGTTTTCTTACTCTGTCTGTGTCCTAATGCTGCAATGTTGATTTCCTCACATTCTCGTGGCTGGACTCTGAGATCAGAGCTTTCACTGACAGCTCGGGGCTGTGACAGCGGTGCAGACGCACGTATCATATCTGTGCGTAAAGCTGTAACATCAGAAACATTTACATGACAGTAATCATATTCCATAATCCGTGACACTTCCACCTGTGTGAGACCAAATGCAGTGGACCCGAGAGACGAGAATGTGAGTGGTCAGCAGCAGCAGTGGTGGACACTTGTGCCTCAGGTGAGTCTGTGGGAGTGGACTGTGGGACAGAGGGAGCGGAAGTGAGAAAGCAGCGGGTTTGCTGTGGGATGGGAGCACATGAGAGACACTGGTCTTAAACAAACGCAGAAGAAACTATAAAAGTTTGATGTGTGCGCGCGTGCACGAGCTTACAGCGGTGCACGTGCATGAGAGGGGCGCACGTGTGCACGGAGTGTTCGGAACACAAACCCAGTCAGTCCTGTCATGGCCCACACAAAAGTCTATATTCCTGGTGCCTCTGCTGGTGTGTTCTTGCATCATGAGTCTCTGGAGCGGTTTTATTGTCACATATAGAACTTTTCCCCACACGCCACTTTGCTGCTTGTGATGAGGTAAAGATTACAGACATTACCCACACGAGCAGTGTTTTTAAATGCCACAGTGGTCACTGATTGGTTGAGATGTCATCACCATATCTGTACTTGTACCGACCCACTCCAGCCTCCAGCAGCGAAGTACAGCTCCACCTGCTTCTAAGACTGGGGACAAGGCCCCTCCTCTGTATCACTCTTCCTCCTCTGCACCATCATTCCCTCCTCTGCATCACCACTCTTCCTCTTTTGTATCCCTCCCTCCTCTGCACCATCACCTCATCCTCTTCATCACCACTCCTCCTCTGTACCATACAGTCACCGCTCCTCTGCATCACTCCCTCCTCTTCATCCCTCTCCTCCAGCGCTCCTTCCTCTACACCACGTTTGTCCCTCCTCTGTGTCATATATTCACTCTTCCTCCTCTGCACCATCTCTGTCCCTCCTCTGTACCACTCCCACTCCTCTGCCAAATACATTCTCTCTGTTTCATAATTGTATTTTTTTTATTTTTTTTGCAGTAATTTGTGAAGTTGAGCGCTTTTCACATCTCAGCACAACACTTGTACGAGAATACGCAAAAAGAAATTATTGACCTGGACGAAACTACTACTGCAGCTATTACAACTACAAGTACTACTACTACTACTACTACAACTACTACTACAAATATTCTAGGAGGGGATAATCCTGCTGTGAATACTTCCTTGACCAGAGAGAGGCGCTCTGTCCGTCAGAAGCGCGCGTCCATTTCTGTAGTATCAGTGAAGTACTTTGGGATATTCCAGTACTCGGATCAGGAGTACTGCGACTCCGGGTACTCTTACAGCGAGGACAGGTGCATGAGCGACTGCTTCGGTAAGTGTGTACTCAAGGTTCAAGAAACAAATTTTCTGTTTAGAGGTGTTTTCACTTTTTATTGTTATGTGAGCGGGGTCGCCTCTCCACAGATCTGACTTGTAACTTGTGGTGTGAGGCGGTGAGAGTAGACAAAAACTGTACTCAAGTAAAAGTAATGTGACTTCAAAATAAGATTACTCTAGTAGAAGTGCAAAGTAGTGGTTCAAGAAATGACTCAAGTAAGAGTACAAAAGTATTTGGGAAAAGTACTTTCTGCATGTACTACTCACATAAAAATAACTTAGAAATTAGACAAACACAAATGTTCAAATCATTTCACTGAGTCACCAACACTTTTACTCAAGTAAGAGTACTGGTACTTCAACAAGCATAATACTCATGTAGGAGTAAAAGTATGCTGCTGGAAAAGTACCCTGAAAAGTACAATTTCTATAAATGTAAGTAAATACTACCCACCTTGGACTAATATTCCTGCTACTAGTAAATAAATTATGTTCTTTCAGAAACAATGAATCTCCTATAGCAGGGGTGTCCAAACTTTTTTCATCAAGGGCCACATATCTAAACACAGACAAAGCAGAGGGCCGATCGAGGGCAGTAGACTGGTGCTCAGTACAGTGAATAATTGAAATATGTGCATGTTTAACACGTTAGAATGAGCCATCAGCATTTATTCATGCTAAGATCCTTAAAACCACACACTAAATATTCAAAATGAGCTTTATCAAGGCAGATTTTCAAAAAACTTGCAGTAAAAAAATATTTTTTAATTGATGCAAGATAATTTGGGCCAAATCACCTGGAAGCCTGAGGGCCAAGAAAAATTTGTCTGAGGGCCGCATTTGGCCCCCGGGCCATAGTTTGGACATGCCTGTCCTATAGTCATATGGGCTCCGCCCTCCATCTTTTACTTCTACTACTACTACTACTACAACTTCTACTACTACTCCTGTTAATACTATTTCTTCTACTGCTTCTAGCACTGCACCACTTCTACTTCTACTAATTCTACTACTACTACTACTACTACTACTACTACTACTACTACTACTACTACTTCTATTACAACAACTACTACTACTACTACTACTACTACTACTAATTCAATCACTATTATTACTTCTATTACTCCTACTACTACTTCTACCACCACTACTACTACTACTACTACTAATTCAATCACTACTACTACTACTAATTCTACTACTACTAATATGACTACTACTACTACTACTACTACCACCAATATTACTACTTCTACTACGACTACTACAACTACTTCTATTACTGCTACTACTACTACTACTTCTATTACTACTACTACTACTACTACTACTACTACTACTACTACTACTACTACTTCTTCTATTACTACTACCACTTCTACTAGTGTTAATTCTACTACTAATACTACTACTACTACTACTAATAATAATACTACTTCTACTACTACTACTACTACCACCACATCTACTACTACTCCACTTGAGTCCTGATGTGTGTGTCGTGTTGTGTTCAGCGTTTGCAGATGATGACATCACTGATGACGTGGAGTGCTTCGTCCAGAGCCTCTTCTGGGAGTGAGTCACACTCACACTTGTTTCACTTTAGTAAAGGATCATCATGGAACTTTTCTGCTGGGGGTTAGCCTGTTTGTCTCCATGGAAACTAAATTTACAGATGTAGCATTTTTTTCAAATTCTGGTGTTTTGTTTAGTTTGTTGTTTTTTGCCAGAAATGTTAATAATTAAAAACATGCATTCTAAAATTAAAATTAAAATTAAAATTAAAATTAAAATTAAAATTAAAATTAAAATTAAAATTTAAAGTGTTGTGTTCAAATGTATATGTTGTGTTCCAGTGTGTACAGAGGAGCAGTGCAGTCCTGCAAATCCAAAAAGACCCTGGACTCCTTTTTTGAGGCCTGTGATGCTGGAGAAGAGCCTGGGTCTGGAGAACATCTGGGTGTCTGGTTCTCCATCTCCACCTACAACTGAACATCTGCTCCTCTGACTCTCCATCTCCACCTACAACTGAACATCTGCTCCTCTGACTCTCCATCTCCACCTACAACTGAACATCTGCTCCTCTGACTCTCCATCTCCACCTACAACTGAACATCTGCTCCTCTGACTCTCCATCTCCACCTACAACTGAACATCTGCTCCTCTGACTCTCCATCTCCACCTACAACTGAACATCTGCTCCTCTGACTCTCCATCTCCACCTACAACTGAACATCTGTTCCTCTGACTCTCCATCTCATCTACAACTGAACATCTGTTCCTCTGACTCTCCATCTCATCTACAACTGAACATCTGCTCCTCTGACTCTCCATCTCCACCTACAACTGAACATCTGCTCCTCTGACTCTCCATCTCCACCTACAACTGAACATCTGCTCCTCTGACTCTCCATCTCCACCTACAACTGAACATCTGCTCTCTGACTCTCCATCTCATCTACAACTGAACATCTGCTTCCTCTGACTCTCCATCTCCATCTACAACTGAACATCTGCTCCTCTGACTCTCCATCTCCACCTACAACTGAACATCTGCTCCTCTGACTCTCCATCTCCACCTACAACTGAACATCTGCTCCTCTGACTCTCCATCTCATCTACAACTGAACATCTGCTCCTCTGACTCTCCATCTCATCTACAACTGAACATCTGCTCCTCTGACTCTCCATCTCATCTACAACTGAACATCTGTTCCTCTGACTCTCCATCTCCACCTACAACTGAACATCTGCTCCTCTGACTCTCCATCTCCACCTACAACTGAACATCTGCTCCTCTGACTCTCCATCTCATCTACAACTGAACATCTGCTCCTCCTCTGACTCTCCATCTCATCTCTACAACTGAACATCTGCTCCTCTGACTCTCCATCTCCACCTACAACTGAACATCTGCTCCTCTGACTCTCCATCTCCACCTACAACTGAACATCTGCTCCTCTGACTCTCCATCTCATCTACAACTGAACATCTGCTCCTCTGACTCTCCATCTCATCTACAACTGAACATCTGCTCCTCTGACTCTCCATCTCCACCTACAACTGAACATCTGCTCCTCTGACTCTCCATCTCCACCTACAACTGAACATCTGTTCCTCTGACTCTCCATCTCATCTACAACTGAACATCTGCTCCTCTGACTCTCCATCTCATCTACAACTGAACATCTGCTCCTCTGACTCTCCATCTCATCTACAACTGAACATCTGCTCCTCTGACTCTCCATCTCATCTACAACTGAACATCTGCTCCTCTGACTCTCCATCTCATCTACAACTGAACATCTGTTCCTCTGACTCTCCATCTCCACCTACAACTGAACATCTGCTCCTCTGACTCTCCATCTCCACCTACAACTGAACATCTGCTCCTCTGACTCTCCATCTCCACCTACAACTGAACATCTGCTCCTCTGACTCTCCATCTCCACCTACAACTGAACATCATCTGCTCCTCTGACTCTCCATCTCCACTACAACTGAACATCTGCTCCTCTGACTCTCCATCTCATCTACAACTGAACATCTGCTCCTCTGACTCTCCATCTCATCTACAACTGAACATCTGCTCCTCTGACTCTCCATCTCCATCTACAACTGAAACATCTGCTCCTCTGACTCTCCATCTCATCTACAACTGAACATCTGCTCCTCTGACTCTCCATCTCCACCTACAACTGAACATCTGCTCCTCTGACTCTCCATCTCATCTACAACTGAACATCTGCTCCTCTGACTCTCCATCTCATCTACAACTGAACATCTGCTCCTCTGACTCTCCATCTCCACCTACAACTGAACATCTGCTCCTCTGACTCTCCATCTCATCTACAACTGAACATCTGCTCCTCTGACTCTCCATCTCCACCTACAACTGAACATCTGCTCCTCTGACTCTCCATCTCATCTACAACTGAACATCTGCTCCTCTGACTCTCCATCTCCATCTACAACTGAACATCTGCTCCTCTGACTCTCCATCTCCACCTACAACTGAACATCTGCTCCTCTGACTCTCCATCTCCACCTACAACTGAACATCTGCTCCTCTGACTCTCCATCTCCACCTACAACTGAACATCTGCTCCTCTGACTCTCCATCTCATCTACAACTGAACATCTGCTCCTCTGACTCTCCATCTCCACCTACAACTGAACATCTGCTCCTCTGACTCTCCATCTCCACCTACAACTGAACATCTGCTCCTCTGACTCTCCATCTCATCTACAACTGAACATCTGCTCCTCTGACTCTCCATCTCATCTACAACTGAACATCTGCTCCTCTGACTCTCCATCTCCACATACTGAAGCACTGAGACTCAAATAAAAGTTGAATGATCTTAATGTTTGTGTGTGGAGTAACTATGCAGAACTAGGAATTGGTTAAAGTCCAATTAATGATCACTTCACAACATGGAGAGAACCTGATCAGCCAGAAGCACACACTTTGACAAAACTTTACAAAGGCGAGTTGGTCTTTCAGATGGCGTGATTGACAGGCGAATTAACCAATCAGAGAGACATCTGTGTCAAAAATGGCTGCTTATACACAAAAGGGGGGAAACCTACACACAGAACTGAGACACAGTGCAGATATTTACAGAATCAGTAATCAACACACCAAATTCTTACTTCACTTTCTGAATGTTAAGAGAATTTTCGAGAGGACAGGTCTTCTGCATTTGAGAGACACGTACTACGAATGATCAGGTGAGATTGGACCATCTCAAATTAGAGTTAGAGTTAATTTATTTGAACATTTTAAAAAAGTTATGAAAGCACAACATCTAGTCTCCATACTCTCAGAATATGTCCATTTAACAAAGAAAGAAACTAACAAAATAAAGAGAACACATAAAAACACTCAATGCCTATTTTAATCCTAATTCTACAATTTACAGTATTTCATCTACATAATATTCAGTAGTTAAGTACATTATAGTGCATGTTTCCGCACTATTAGGCGCTCTGGATTATAAGGCGCACTGTCATTGAATGGTCTATTTTCGAACTTTTTTCACATATAAACCGCACCGGACTTTAAGGCACATTAAACGAAACACAACAGTTAGATAAGTCAGTCAAACTTTATTTAACGCGTTCACAATAACTCTCAACTTTGTTCAATTGTAATGCGTAAAAAAATACTGTCTGAAAGAGTATTCACAATAACTCATGTTCAAACACACTGAAAAAATGGTCCGAGAGGGGTTGCTCAAATTGCAAAAACAAATTTGACAACAATAACATGACTTTTTTTTACGTTTCTCTTTCCAGCATGTTTAAATCTTACAAAGGTCACTTGATTGTGGCCGATGTGAGACCTGCATGTTTTAATCAGGTTGAGGAAACATGACTTTATTATAATCTGTGGTGAGGCTCCTCCCTCTGGAATTCTCCTCCCCAATTTTTTTGGAGGGAAAAGTCAAATGTAACAGGACACAGGACAGTTAGATGAGCAGAGGACACACAGTGTGGAGCAGGAGGATTATGAGAACTGATCTGGAGGTGAGACTTTTTAAAGATTTTATTTGTTTGTTTGTTTATCTGGACTAGAATGCGTCATTGTTAAAACATGTTTGTGGTGTTTTATTTGAAACTAGAAAAGCAGTCAGAGAGCGCAGACCTCCGCCAAGGACTACCCCCATTTTTTATATAAATTGCGATAAAATCAGTCTTCTGGATCAGATCCGGATCAGCCTTTGGAATATGAAAGAGGATCCCATTGTCCATCCCTGAGTCAAATTTCATGGGGTTTGGTCAATAATTAACCGAGATATTGAGAAACAAAATTTTTGGCCCCATTTACCACAATGTTAACTAAAATCGGTCCATAACTTTTTGAGTTATGTTGCTAACAGACAAACAAACAAACAAACAAACAGACAAACGCCGGCAAAAACATAACCTCCTTGGCGGAGGTAATTAGAGTTAATGTTAGGACTCCTTGAAACAAATTGTATTTGACTGTCCATCTAAAAGAGTGTGACAGCTGAACTAAGATTTGATTGTGTTGCTTCCAGAGTCGCCTACAAACAGTGACGTCCAGAGCTCTGCTGGAGCTGTGGGGAAGTTCATAAATGTTCTATCTGATGTTTCAGGAAAAAGGAAGATGTTTGAGAACCAACAAAACACAGAGCACAGATGAACAAAGTAAGTAAACCAGCTAAAATTATTTTAAAAGAATTTTTCAAAATGTACTTCTATTGAAACAGTGATCGTGTTTCTACAGGGTGATGTGGCACTAGGAGACTTTATACCAGATGCCCTCCCTGTTACTGCATTTAGAGGAAGAAAAGCAGCACATGGTGAGTTTTGTTTCTGCAGATACACTTCTAATGTTCTTGTTCTTCTGTTCTGGTCCGTTATTGTAATAATAAGTACTTTAAGTGTATTTAAACATGTACAACAGAGTAGATGATCAGAATGTGATCATCATGTGTTATTCTGTGTCCACAGAGACCAGAGCTTCTTCACTGGAATAAATCTTCACACTGTCCAGCTCCAAACTGTGTGTCTCTGTACTTGTGTGTCTCTGTGTGTTTGATTCTGTTTAAGACAAAACAGAACTGTGGAAAACTAAAGACTGTTTTTGTATTCTTTTACAGAATTAGATCAATTAAATTAAATCATACATACTTATACATAAGATAAATATGCCTATTCAGCATAATTTGATCAAATTTCATCAACATGAAAAAGTGACGTTCATGTTCTGAGAAAAATATGCGTAGAGAGGATCAAAATATGTTTCAAAGCCTAAACATAATTTTATTGCATGCAACCGCTTTCCAGAACTTTTTTACGCAAATACAGCAACCTTTTTGTTCAGTGCAGTTGGGTGATTATGGCATCCAGCACGCCCGCATCCCGTTTCAGTGAGGGGCCACTATGTCAACTGGAGGCAGCTACAAGCAGCAGCACTCTATCCGGTTATTTTAATAGATCCATGATTGGCTGGTGCCCGAACTCACACTTCCATGGTTCTTGCAAACTGTCTAGTGTATTCCAATTTCTGACCTAGTCACTGGAGAGAAATGAAATTGAGTGGAGACACTAGGTGGCGCCAGACTGGCTAAAAGATTACAACTATATAGAGGACACAAGCATAGGTTTTCTTTACAGTGGCTTTATGTAGCTGTGAAACTGGCTGTTCAAAAATGTGTCTTGCCCATCGATGTGAGTCTCGACCAGCCGCTCATCTTGTCCATGTGCATAACCATAGTCATAGACACATTTTGTACTTACTAGTTTCCCCTCCCAAAATAGTTGTACACTTACAATTTTTTCTGTTTTTATTCCATTTTGTATCTTAATTATATTAGAGTGACCAGATTTTTCAAAACAACTTTGACACCCCCAGTTTGTGGTGGTTAGTAATAATAAAATTGTGAAACAAGTGTGTAATTAAGGAAAAATTATCTGCACTTCTTAGACCATTCATGACTTCTTTACGACTAGCATGTGAGTCAGTATAGTCGCATTTTCTTTGTGTTTTGGTCATTTTTAAGCAGCTTTTCTATATTTTACCTAAACAAAGTACAGATTACAAATCATGACTCTCTTAACTGTTGGCAGGGATCAAATTGGTCAAAAATAGGGACACCTGGGACATTTCTTGTATAAAACTGGTGTTGAAGAAAACAACATTTTCCTCTTGTGTTCATTAGTTTCTGCTTAGATAAAAATTACACTTGAATTACACTTGAGTAGTTCTTGTCCTATTTAGTTTGCTATTAGATAGATTTGAATATCATGCATTTGCAGTGTTGGAGAGTAACAGATTACATGTACTGGAGTTACGTAATCAGAGCACAAATTATGAGTAACTGTATTCAGCTACAGTTACTGTTTCAATGAGAGGTAATTGGATTACAGTTACTTTGTTAAAATAAATGGATTACACAGCGGTATTTTCCTCTTTTCACATTTTTTAAATGATTATTTCAGTAATTCCACTCATTACCGGAAAGCCAAACAAAACACACGCAATAAGAGCTGTGTAAACCATGTCAACATTGGTGGTATCAGTCACACAATGGACGAGGTTGAGGAGCCAGTAGAACAGAGCCAGCAGTACACGGGCAAAAACACATTTGTGTCTTGGAAATTGAGACGTCACTTTGTATTTAAAGAAGAGACCGCGCCTCCTCCCGTGCGCCTCTAAACCAGGTCTAAACCAGGTCTAAACCAGGTCTAAACCAGGTCTAAACCAGGTCTAAACAATATGACACCTAATAGTAGGTGGACATAATTGAAGGCAGCAGTGATCTCATATAAAAATCATTTCTCTATCAATAATATTTTTAATATGTTTAAGAAAAGACTGGGTTTTTTATTGTCTTTCAGCAGACAAAATATCTTATGTTAACATTTCCTCGTCTTTGCTTCTCTACAACAAACTTTTTTGAAGAGAACAAACAAGAATTTTCAGGATGTGGTTGGTACATTCATGTAGTTTTTAAAAAAGCATGACAATATCAAGCAATCCAAAGTATTCAGATTACATTAAGTAATTTAATGGATTCCGTTACAAACTACATTTTGGGTATGTAATCTGTAATCTGTAGGGGAATACATTTTAAAAGGAATCTTCCCAACACTGTGCATTTGTCTTGATATATTGATGAGTGTCACAGCTGTGATCAGAGCTCTTATCTTCAAATGACCTTGGTACAATAATGAACTACACAAGTGATTATACAAAATATCTAAGCCTAGTTATTTATCCTAACACTGGGACAAATCAGTGGTTCTGTATAAATCTGCTGGGACAGAGGACACAGGACTTAAAACTGGGACAGTCCCGGGTAAATAAGGACGTCTGGTCACACTAAATTATATTCAAGATATAAACAAATTAAAATGTAAAACTGGGATGGCTGGTAATAATAAAACTAAAAAGAGAGTGTCAGATCACTGTTTGAATAAATTTGCTGGGACAGGGGACACAGAAAACGAAAGGGGACAGAACTGGAACTGTTCCTGGTAAACAAAAAAACTAAACAAAAAAAAGGACGCCTTGTCCCATTTCTCCTCTCCTGCTGCTCTTGTACTTTGTGTAGCAACATTCAAATTCCCTCATCGTGGGACCAATAAAAGTTCTCTTATCTTATCTTACAGCTGGACTAAACCACAAAACTCGAGCTGAGTAAGTACTAAAGCTCATTTCTATCATATAAACAGGAATAAACCACCTCAAAAATCAAGACTAAATCTAAAAACAGAACTAAACCACAACTAGCAGAAATCCTGGAACCAACCCAAGCCAAGACAGGAAATAAATAACCAAACCAGGTCTACACTCGGTCTAAGCTCAAATTTAATTCGGTCTCAATCAGAACTTAAGTCTGACTAAAGTATTTATCAGAATACATGCTGTAATATTGCATTTAACTGTATTTTAACCAGTCAGAAGTCGAAAAACAACTGATCGTGTCTTGTTAAAGCCCACTCCGCCTACATTTCCCGTCAGCCTTTTGTTTAAGGAAGCCCTGCCATCGCTCTGACCAATCACGTCTCACCGTCTCGAAAATACGCTCCGTGATTGGCTGTTTCGTGTTTGCTCTCCCGTGATGCCTTGCGTGGCGCTTCGGAATTCAAATGTAGCCGGCCAATCAGCGTGCGCGGAACCACACAGGCAGCATTTTAAACTTGTGCTGGAGACTGTTGTCAAAGGACGAGGTAACGCTGCGGGTGCACACGCCTGGAGAGGCTAGAAAATACAAGTTTTAATGTTAGCAGGAGAGTTTTAGAGTTAGATTAGTTTTTATTCGTGTTTGGATGTGATTTCATGTTTTTTAGTTGGCGTATATGAGGACTTCGGAAACGACTTTCGGCTATTACGCGTTGCTTGGTAAGGGTCTGAGTCAGGCTGAACGCGCATTCACCACGTAATCTGAGATAAGATAGGGTTTTAAAGTTTTAATTATTAGTAAAAAGGAGTAAAAAGGGTAGTTTCGAGATGAGTGCAGGCGTCGCGAAGCCCAGTTCAGCAGCCGCACATGGCGACCCTAAATCGGCTCCGCTCAAAGAGATCCCCGACATCCTGGTGGACTCCCGGACCATGCGCCGCTATTCCAGAGGCCGCTTCCTGGGCAAGGGAGGCTTCGCCAAGTGCTTCGAGATCACGGACCTGGAGAGCAAGCAGGTGTTCGCCGGCAAGATCGTGCCCAAAGCCCTGATCCTGAAGCAGCACCAGCGGGAGAAGATGAGCTCCGAGATCGCCATCCACAAAAGCCTGAGCCATCCAAACGTGGTGGGCTTCCATGGGTTCTTCGAGGATGACGACTTCGTGTTCGTGGTGCTGGAGCTGTGCAGGAGACGGGTGAGTGGCGAGGGCGCACGGCCAGGACGCACGGCCAGGGCGCACGGGCTGGGGACTTGTTTGTAAAGGGCCAACGGTTGCCATTACCAGGCCCTGCTCAGTTGTCTCCTCTTATCTTTCACATGTTTGCACTGTCTCTGCTTCAAATACCATTGTCTAATGTTCTCTTCCTATGTACAATATAGGTACGTCCATATGAATACTACAAGCATAAAGTAGAACTAGTTTTACCTCTTTTGTGTTCAGATTATTTATAGACCGTAGGGGGGCAAATGAAACAGAAAACGCTCTCCAAAGTTCCTGTGGAGGTGTAAATGCAAGGAACAGCAATTTTAAAAGTGAAAAAATGGAAAAGCTTTTTCCGTTTTTAAATTACGTTTTGAGAAAAAGCCTTCGTCAGGATAATTTGGATCTGGAAACTGTGCATCCCCAGTTATATAGTTTTAATACCAAACTGGCCAATTATTACATGACGTTTGTGAAATGGTTGACCTGAATTGGATATTTTTCCAAGGCACATAATAGTATTCCACACTGCACACGGCTTGGAATGGGGGATTCTTTATTAGAAACATTTAAAATGGCAACTCTGCTGTGAAGAGGCAATTCCAAAAACCAGCTGGGGAGGTTAGATGATAACTATTTTAAAACTGCACTATGTAACTTTCCTTGTAGAGAGTCACCTGCTTGTCTCCATGGAGAGGTTACTTCTGTGCCTTGAATGTCTCCGTGTTGCTTTTGTCCTTGTATTTATTCAGTTTATAGGTGTTTTAATTGTCACACGAAACCTTGGAAAACATGCATTCTTCCTGCAAGTGGTGTGGCCTCTCCACAGATTTGACATGTTTCATTTCATGCGTGGAACAATCCAGGTACAGCAATAAAATCTCCATGGAGACGAGCAGGTGGTGGCCCATTTACCAGAAAAGTTAGTCTAACTTTTTATAGGTTCAATATTCAGTTTCAGTTTATTATAAACACTCCCACAATTGGTAGATTCTTAATTGACAATTTGTGGGCACAATTATTTATGTTAAATTTAAATGTAAAAAATATATATTGTGGAAAATGTAAAACATATTTTGAAATGCTTTTACTAGGCACCGTCTGTTCATGTTTAATTCGGTCTCACTTGAATCCAGGGCCTGTCCCATTTGCTGAGGTGCAAGGTGTTAAAGCTCCTCTTCACACCAGTTAATTAGATGGTAGCTTACATTTTGGTTTCACCATGGAAACCACAACACCTCCATGTTTACCTTTGCACAGTGGGAGGAGACTGGATTCCCAAAAGATTCAAACAGGTCCCAGGTTCAATTCCTAAACCACATGAGGCGTTTTTTAGTAAAGAGGGAAAATAATGTTCCCTGCTCACAAAATAACACCAATATAGACATGACCAAAGAAATGTTTTATGTGTGTTTGTGTTTTTCCAATGAAAGATTGACCCCGTAGTAAATAGGCGGTTCTCTTGTGTTCTAGTCCCTGCTGGAGCTACACAAGCGCCGCAAGGCCGTGACGGAACCTGAGGCCAGATACTTCATGATGCAGCTGCTGAAGGGAGTGCCAGTACCTCCACAACAACCGCATCATCCACAGAGACCTCAAGCTCGGAAACATTTTCCTCAACGATGACATGGACCTCAAGATCGGTAACTGCCCCGTCCACACTGCACAAGCGTTATTCTTTGTCAGCAGGATGGTGGGAGGTGCTGCATGGAAGTCTAGAGATCCAGGCCAGTGGATCGAAGCTTTCACATAAAAATAGGATTTGGCATTCCCAGTACCACCAGATTTAAACATAAATCAGGACTATTCCGGGGTAATCTAGGTCTAAATCACGTCTAGAAGTGGACTACATCATTTCCACTGTAGTTCTAAACAAATTCTCCAAAAAAGAACGAAAAAAATATCTAAATTTGACACCTCCACAAACTGAAGAGCTGTCAAAGTACCATTCTTGTATCACCAGTGGTACAGATACCACAATTTGAGAAACTCTGATCTAGGCTGCAGCTGAGCTTTCTACCAGCCTCATACAAGCCACTCTTCTTGACTTTTCTCATTTCATTTTATATGCAATAAGCAGTGATACATGTAGGATTCAGCTGCGTTACATGGCCAGTTTATTTTATTTATTGAAAGGAAAAAAATCCAGAATCTGTGGACCAATAGTGCTTCTACTTAAAAAGTCCACATTTTAACATTATTCACATTTGTCATAGATTATAACTATTTGGCCAGGACAGATTTGAAACAGTTATGCTACTGTCTTTATATAAAGCAAACACAACCTGTCCATTAAATAATTTGTATTGTGAAAAAGTCATTTTGCTTTTGATACAAATGGAAATGGACTCGATATACAAGTTGGTGGTGAGGAAACAGACTTCCACATTGGACTTGTTTACAAAGAGTTGTCCAAAAGTAGAATGGTATAATGTGTACAGTGCTTTGACAGCACATATTCATAGACAGCTGGAGCATATTTTTTTCTTTAGAGTTAGACCATTTCCACAAAGCACACTTTAATTTTGATAGTATTGTGATCATGTAGTATCACTTATATCAGACAGGTCAAACTCAGGCCCGGGGACCAAATTTGGCCCAGGAGATCATATCAAATATGCATTAGAGCTGATCTGCCGGCTACAGATAGAGAGATGATTTATTTAACATGTTATTATTTTATATTCTTCTTGTTCTGGATTCAGTGTTTTAAGCAAAACTATTATTAAATAATAATTTTAATAAGAAAGGATTTAACATTACAAATCTCGAAAAGGAGAAAGCATGCAGATGTTGTTAAAAATTTTCAATAAATATTTAGTTTGGCCCACGACTTGGTCCCAGTTTTTAATTTTGGCCTCTGTGAATTTGAGTTTGACACCCCTGACTTGTATTAATGTATTGTATTAATACCATCCCATGTTCACTGTGCAGGGGACTTCGGACTGGCCACAAAGATCGAGTTTGACGGTGAGAGGAAGAAGACTCTGTGTGGAACCCCAAACTACATCGCTCCTGAAGTGCTGTGTAAGAAGGGCCACAGCTACGAGGTGGACGTGTGGTCACTAGGCTGCATACTGTGAGTGTGGGGCAGAGTGGCAGAGGGGTCCAGTGTGAGGAGAAAGGAGGGGACTGTACTAATGTCTGTGCTGGTCCCAGGTACACGCTGCTGGTGGGCAAGCCTCCATTTGAGACGTCCTGTTTGAAGGAGACCTACAACCGCATCAAGAAGAACAACTATACCATCCCCTGGGTAACTACAGCCCCACAAATTATGTACACCACTGTGATGAGCCGGTTCTTTCTAGAGCTTGTAATTGTGGTCATTAAGATGCATCTGATCCTTCAAACTTGTTAGTATTTAAGTATAACGTGACTGGTCAGTGATCAGTTTGGTAATCTGTCAGAATGCATTTTCAAAGCATAAACCATTAGTTAACAAGACTAGTAGTTACACATTTAAATATTGGAAATGTTCAAAGCATTTACAGAAGAAAATGGGCCAAGGGGGTGTTGTAGTTTTTATTTCATCACCATTTTGCTAAAAAGTTTTCATCAACAATTCTAAAAAACATAATAACCAATTAAGTGTCTCAGTTTCCCCGTTCTCACTTTACGCTGCAGTCCTTGAAGGTTTTTATGTTTTTGCCTCCAGCACATCAACCCTGCGGCCTCGTCCCTGATCAAACGCATGCTGCACGCAGACCCCTCCCAGAGGCCCACCGTCACAGAGCTGCTCACAGACGACTTCATGGTGTCCGGGTACTTGCCCATGCGCCTGCCCACCACCTGTCTCACTGTGCCCCCCCGCTTCTCCATCGCCCCCTCCACCGTGCCCGAGCTGCAGAGCCAGAGACGCCCGCTCACCGCCATCAACAACAAAGGTAAGTGTTGGAGCGCTTTTACAAGTGGTCCACAGAAGACTTCTAGACACTGTTAAGGTGTTTCTATCTTGCTTATGACCATGCATTTTGACTAAAGTCCAGTTTGACACCATAACATCAGTGATTATTCTTCTTTCATTAGTTATTCTGTTACTCTCTAATGGTAACCACAGCAGCCAGGGAGGAAGCCTGTGTAAGGGTGAGGTGTCTGATGCTTTATGTGTTTTATTTGCAGCAGGGACGGAGAAAGTGGAGGTGAAAGAGGAGCAGCCCCAAAAGTGAGTATGAACTGAACACTGAGTCTAAAAATGGTGATGTAGAATTGTAGCTAAAAGAGAAAGAAGGGAAAAATGCCATTTGGACCAAACCTCATGTCCCCTGCTAAATATTGTATTCACACCTTTATCAAATAGGGTTGGACGATATGTTGATTAAAAATGTGACCAATTTTGGTAATTTTTCCTTTTGATTCCCTCTTTCCTTCATTTAAAGCAGCTGTTTGCTGGCACACATTTCCCCACCCACTCTGTCTTATGGTCAGACTGTAAGGCTCAGAGTGACGCTGGATTTATCCACTCAGTGAAGTGTGAAGTTAAATACAAAAGAAAAATGCAGTGTGTACATAAACTGATCTAGCTCACAGAAGATTGTGATGTACATGTTTTTGCTGTATCACATACTTCTGTGGGGTAAAATCTGGTTTCTGAACTGTCTAAAGATCTACCAACATCAAACAGATCAGTATAGTTAGGATTACAGTGAATGTGATGGTGCACAGTAAAAGTACCACCTGCCCAAGGCTGTCTCATATGAATGTCCTGTGTGTCTCCACAGAGAGTCAGACCAGGACTCACACCTGAGGGACCTGCTGCAGCAGATCATCGGCCTGATGTCCACCAAGCCTTCAGACAGGGCCAACATCAAACAAGGTCTGTGCACAACCACCTCTGACCTCTGCTGCCTGGGGACCATGAAGAGAAACGGATGTATGATAATGTCCAATGTCCATGACAGTCTTGTGATCCTTTCTCTTTGACAACACTAGTGCACCGCTTTGAGACCCAAGTGATCTTATGTTTCTGTGGAGTCAACATGACAGGATAGTAGGGGTGTGCATTGCCTTGAGTCTGACCATACGACAGATATCATGATTCACAAGTCACGGTCATATATATCATATATATCCTGATACTAAAACAATGGATGATAAATTGCAATTTATCAACTATTACTTCTGATAATCCAGTCAACTACACCTTCAAGAGAACACAATGTGTGAAAAATTATATAATAATTTATACTTTTTTTTTTTCTTTTTTTTTAAATCATGAGAACAGTGATTTTTGTGGAAAGTTATTTTAAAAATTGATTCGGATCCATTTTGAATCTATTTGAGAAGTGTGCAATGAAGTATCACGATATATCACTGAATCAATTTAAATTTTTTCCTTACACCCCTACATTATAGGTTTAGTTACTCATCTAGTAATGAGAGGAATAAAGACCATAGGCCTACCATGAATATACAGTATATAATATGTTTTAAGTCATGAAGCTGCACTGTGAATTTAGTTTTTTCTTGGACAATACTGACCCACCTCAGTTTCAAAACCAATCTAACGTTTGCCTCTCGTTTCAGAGGAGGCTGAGGACCCCGCCTGCATCCCCATCTTCTGGATCAGTAAATGGGTGGACTACTCTGATAAATATGGTCTGGGTAAGGACGGCCTCCTTCACTACTGTAAATACAACTGTGACTGGAGCATTTGTGCAACTTGAGTTAGAAATTTTACCATCAAACATGATTTTTAGTGAATATATTATCTTAATCAGGTGGAGGAAGAAGTACTTTTAATTTTTTAAGTATAAGTACAGATAGAGCAGCAAAAGATTACTCAAGTAGATGGTTTCATGTCATACTTGAGTAAACATATTAAAGTACCTGTTTTAAAATGTACTTTAAGAGTAAAAAAGTATTTTGCATAGATTTATAGAACAATTAAAGTGTTAAATGTAATGATTATGAATTTTGCTGATTTTAAGTGATTCAATTGATTTCTTGATTTTGAATTGTTCTCACTGTTTTGGTTAGGATTTATTCAAATGAAATGTGCTAAAAATAAGTCTCAGTGTTTTCAGCAGGTCTCAAACCATAAAGAAATGTGCTATTTAGTCCAGATGTAAAATGTAGTGGAGTAGAAAGTACAGATACATGCTTCCAAATGTAGTAAAGTAAAAGGTATCCAGTGTAAAATGTACTTCAGTATTGTATTTTTACTTTTGTACTTCATTACCTTCTGCCTCTGTAATTGATGTCATTTGAATGAAATGAATCGACTCTAGTCTTTTGCGCTCATTTAAACAAAGCTCTTGACAAAACCCGGTTGCATTGGTCCGGTTTCAGAATATGTTGTCTGTGCTGCCCCCTCCAGGTTATCAGCTGTGTGACAACAGTGTGGGCGTGCTGTTTAATGACTACACTCGTCTGATCATGTACGCCGACGGAGACAGTCTGCAGTACATTGACAAGACCGCGGCTGAGTCCTTCCTCAGCGTGCGCTCCTACCCACAGGCTTTAAACAAAAAGGTCAGTACCCGACCCTTAGCCAGGCTGGCGCCACCTAGTGCCTCCGCTCAATTTCATTTCTCTCCAGCAACTAGGTCAGGAATCAGAATACACTAGACGGTTCGCAAAAACCCCGGAAGTGCGAGTTTGGGCACCAGCCAATCAGCAAAGAGCCATATATTCAGTGTTCTGAGATCGAGGATTTAAAGACAGAACAAAGAATGTTTGAATTTCATCAAGGGGAAAGACGTTATTGTCCTTCTTCCTCCGGGATTTGGGAAAAGCTTAATATACCAGTTAGCCCCGTTAGCGGCGCATTACATACATCACAACCAAATAACAGCGACTGGTTAAATGACAAAAAGTACCCGTCGAGCGAACGAATTCTAACACTGCGAGGTCAGACGGTTTCTACAAAGTTAAAAAAAGCGAAACCGGCCGATGAATCAGGCTTTAAACAAGGCTCCAAGCTACAAGGAACATACTGAGAAGTCTCCCAAAACAATTATTACACACAATTTTGACAATCCAGCAGAAGTGTGTGGAAAATGAAATGAATGTCCATAACTACTTAAATCGTCATCACAAACAAAAGACATGGAGTTGTGTTTTGTTTAATTCACACATGTTTAACACACAAACCCTGCACGTTTAGGCTGAGTTCACTTTGTTCCACCTTGTGATGTCATGTGGTAATACAGGAAGTGCTCCACTGTGTTTTTAAACTCTACACATTCACTAGAATCATTTAGATGATTTCAGACCTGGAATTGCCAATTTCTACTGAACTAAAGCTAAAAGGAGCTGTTCACTTAAACTTTCTCTTCATGACATCATAAGGTGCAACTGCGCATTTTCAGTTTTGAAGCTGTAGACGGACTAATAATAAAGGGTTAAACATGTGTGAATGAAACAAAACGCAGCCCTAGGTTTGTTTTTGAAGAGGCAACAACATAAGATTGCTTAAAGCTCACAAGAGACAGTTTGGTGTAAATATAGGTCCTTTTTTTTAAAAAAAAAAAAAAAGAAAAGATGCACTGAGTAACATTTCTAGTGGAGGGTCTGCCACCTGCTTGTCTCCATGGAGATGTTATTGCTCTGTCAAGAATGTTCCACTGTATAGATTAAACATATCATGAGGGAGACGAGCAGGTTACAGCACTACGTTACATTACAAGTCAGATCTGTGGAAAGTTGCTCCTGTTCATAGAAGGATGTGTTTACAGGTATTTCTATTACTCAGAAGTACAAGAATTCCATCTGGTGTTTATTCATTAATGTCATACTATGGAACATTCCAAGTAAAGCAGTAACCTCTCCATGGAGACAAACGGGTAACACACCCTCCACCAGAAAAGCTGTAGAGCCTTTAAGGTCTGAAAGACTAAGTCTGATAAGACTGTTAGTCCTTTTTAACGTGAGACATTTACACTTAAACAGTCCCGTCTTTGTGTTTTCACATTAAAGGAGAACTATAACTTTTCTCATCTCCATGGAAACAAGCGAGTGGAGTCACAGGGCCAAGTACTGATTTACAACAAATATTGATTCAATAAATGAAAGATGGATCCTTCAATGCCATACTGTAGAAAATCACATCTTGCCAGAAAAGTTACATGGTAAACCTTTTTTAATCACATTGCCTCTAGTCTCTACAGATCTAGTTTGGGAGCTCACTAAAGCTGTGTTCAGACTTGACTGTGATTGGTTGAATTTGTGGTTTGGTCCTGACTGTTCTGTGTCTGTGCTGTGCAGATTACACTGCTGAAATACTTCAGGAACTACATGAGCGAGCACCTTTTGAAGACTGGAGCCAACATGGCGCGGCGGGAAGGCGATGAGCTCGCCCGGATGCCCTACCTGTCCCTGTGGTTCAGAACGAAGAGCGCCATCGTCCTGCACCTTACCAACGGCACCGTACAGATCAACTTCTTCCAGGTCAGAACATGACTGTAGTTTCAATAAAGTAAGATTGTGCCATGCTCTATGGATGCAATGTGGGATTTAAGTCAGATGCCCTTTCGATCAGCACTTTATATACATGTAGGCCTGGTTTTTCTGGTTCAACAGTAACATTTCCAAATGTTCCACCTGGATTATCAGTGTTTAAAGGCTCGCTGATTGGCCCGTAGTGTCCTGGCCTTAATGACATATCAAGCATTTCAACTTTTACTTGAGTCTATAGGAAAGTCCCTTTTTTGAATTTAGAATGTACTTCCAGAACATGAAAAAGGGGCTAGAGATTTGCCCTTAGGTGAATGTCAAAGCAGTTTCCAATTTTCAACTGGATTTATTTTAAATCTGATTTGTTCAAAATATGAAATTGTCTAAATTATGGATTATAACTCTGGTTCTGTGCACTTTTTTAATCTACCAGAGTGTGTGTTTTTTTTTTTTTTTTTAATATATGTCTGGGATTGAGACTAAACATTTGACAAATTCTTCACAGTATACTAGTACACTACCAAAGCTGGTTGTCCATATTGCCTGAGTGTCCACACCTTCTGCTCTAGTCCTGTACTGACACCTGTTCTCTGCCCTCTCCTTTAGGACCACACCAAGATCATCCTGTGCCCGCTGATGGGCGCCGTCACGTACATCGATGAGAAGAAGGACTTCCGCACGTACAAGATGTCCCTCCTGGAGGAGTACGGCTGCTGCAAGGAGTTGGCCAGCCGCATTCGCTACGCTAAGTTAATGGTGGAGAAACTAATTGACAGCAAACCGTCGGCCGCCGCGCAGTAAACCCCGCCCCCTCAGTTTTAACGCACAGAGCTCCCACCTGTACAGTTTAGATTAGGGACGCTCTGCTTTTATATTGTTGAAGTGAATTTCTATATTTAATTTGTACTGGCGCCCTCTTGTGTTCATGTGTGTTGTCGCCACGGTGTTCACAGGGAGTTTCACCCACTGATTTTTATGCCAAATGTTTGATGAAACACTTCTCCCGTTTTTGTGTCCGTCTGTAGACCTTTTCTGTCTTATGTCCATTCTCTGTGATAGTTTTCCATGTCTTCTCAGCACTGTACAGCTCTGTACATACTTCTGGATCCACACCCACATGTAAAGATGTCCGTCAAGTTTAAATAAAGTTTCTACCAGACATCACTGCTGTCCGTGTGGAGTTTCATTGCATTCTAGGGTGGGTTAAATGCATATGATAAGTTTTTTTTTTCTAATTCTGGCTTGGTTTGGTGGGATAGTACCTGTGGTCAATATTTATCAGTTTTACATCAGTTCAGTGGTAGTTTGTACAAAAAAAAAAAAAACAGGAAGTGGCGTTGAGTTCTAAAACTCTTCTGCTTATGTCAACGGAGAATTTATGCACTTTTAAACCTCCATTTAACAAAATAAAGGTAATTAATTTGTCAAGTAATTATTGGGGAGAAGTTTTTACCTTTAAGACTACGGTTGCTAGGTAACAAGGAATATAATGTTTGCTATTTTATAAGGAAATTAAAAGCAAGAAAATATTGACTACTTTTGAGGTTCCCAAACTTTTCAAGCAAAACCCCACAAAAAAGGCTTGCAAATGACTCAGTGAAACAATGAAATACAGTTGTCTCTGGTGTTCATTTAATTATTTTTTTTCCCACAAAATTTGAATGTTTTTGGACTTGATCTAACATACTATTTTCAATTGAACAGATTCAATTGTAATGTTTTCAAATCCTAAAACACGATGCACTCTCCATGGCAAAGTTATAAATCAGGTCTGTGGAGACAAGCCCCTCACGGTAAGAGAGAGTGTGCTTCATGGTTTTTGTCTATTAAAGATGCACTGTGTAACTTTAGGTTTTGGGTCTGTCACCTGCTTGTTTCTATGAATGTCATTGATCTACTTGGAATGTTCCACAGTGTGACATTAAACAGCTCTAACTTACATTTATTCAATTACAGGTGGTTATAAAGCTCAAAAATATCTAGAAAAACAAGCATGTGAGTAGGGTAAAAGCACTAATATCGTCTTCCACCAGAAGTTACAAACTAATAAAGTAAAAATCTTTTATTTCAGTCTGTGTATTTATCTGAAATCTCATGCGGTGGAGCTTTATTTTAAGGATTTTTATTATTTCATGGAAAGAGATGTGAAAAACGTGCGGACTCCTGGACAGGATGACCATAGACTGATAACGGAGTACTCTGGTGCCCCTTAGTGGTCAAAGAAAAACACTGCAACTTTAAAACAGCCCCATTTGCACACTAGCTTTTTATAACAGAGACTCGACTTGTACTTGTTGTTAAATTTTAAGTAGCTGCACTCCTGAACAAAACTCCTAGCTCATCTCTGCATTATTCAACTCATTACTAAATGTTTATTAACCATTAACTCATGGTCTCATCTCATTTTAAGCCCCACTTTTATTCTCTGGCTTTTAACAGAGGGTGAGTTGTGTGGTTGTCTTTATCTACAATTAAATTAAATGAATGAATTCGTTTTTAAAAATCATTTTTAGCTTTATGCATCTTAACACTTTTTATGTATTGTTATTATTATTAATTATGATTGACTGTGTTTTATTGTATTAATTTGTTGTGCAGCACTTTGGAAACTGTCATGTTTATAAAATGTGCTATAGAAATAAAGTGGATTGGATTGATTGGATCATCTCTCTCATTTACTAAAAATTGTAATGAATGATTCATAAACATTTGCAAATTGTTTGTATATGATGAATTGTTTTCAATAACATTTTTAATTAATCACTTATAATGAGTAATAGCACTTTTTGTCCATGTTTGTTAATGATGATTAAACATTTGAAGAGTTCATTTGCAAAAACTGATATGTTTAAAAAAAAATGGCAAAAAGGATTTCCAGGATTCCCACTCTTTGTACACGTTGTAAAGTCATGGAAAAGTTTAGAAATTTTGTCAGTGACAATGTGTAGAATTGATCATAATTTTATGGATAAATATGAGATGTTAACCCTTTCCACTCACCTTATGGTTTGGTATTATTAGTTTTTATCATTCAAAATCCAGTCAGTGCATTTATTGTCGTCTCTTTTAAACAAAAGACACAGACTTTCATTCCATGACTTTTCCAGGCCTGGAAAATGACATTTTTAATTTGTATGACATTCCCAGGATTTCCATGACTGTGGAAACCCTGTATTTCCCTTTTTGTTGCCATGTTCTACAGATATTATCAGTGACAATAATGTACAGTGGATTTGACCAAGGACAGATGGAATATTCTATAGACTGCAGTAAAATACATGTAGCTTCTGAACATATTTCTATACAGAGAGTCAAGCCAAGAGTCAAGAGTGTAAGCCGGAGATCACTAGGAATAACAAGAGATAACAGAATGTAGCTTCTTGTATTCTTATGAGTCAGTAGTTATTACCACATAATAACTACCACCTCCAATTTCACAAGTTTAGGACTGAAAATAATAGAAAATCTCCTCTCAGCAGATTCCTGTTTTGGAGTCTGTGTACACTGATAACAAAAATTCACTAAATGTGTGTATTATTTTAGTAGAACATTTTCAAGATCAGATCATTTAAGTTAAGAAAAAAAACAAAGACACTCCAAACTGAAATCATACAGTTTAATGTTAACCATAAAAACAACTCTTTATAATAGTTAAAATCTATAAATGTACAGTACATCTCTTCAAAAGCACAGTGTCAAACAGTCAGCAGAACATGCTTAGCAAACACATCTCCAAAAGCAAGATATTTAAAGGGAAACTATGGAACTTTTCGTTATCCATCTCCATGGACACACGCAGGTGAGACACAGTTTGAATACGCGTCTTCCAAGGCAATTTCTAAGCAACAAAAACATCAAGAATTAAATAAATGCAATAATGGTACACAGACTTCATGGAGATGCTATTACATTACCTGGAATATTCCACAGTATAGCATTAACCTGAACTATCATGCAGATATTCATTTAAAGGTGCCTGTAACTTTGTATGGTGGTACCTTTCATTGTTTTGAAAATGCTATATTTGCCAAAAACCACATATGAACATCTTTTATAAGTTTCACTTTTGTTTTTGATGCTCTGAGTCCCCTCGCGTTTTGCTCTCTGCGCCAAGTCTCTCCCATTTCAGAGAGCTGTCACATCACAATCTGTCTGCATTCTGCCAACTAAACTACAGCATTTCACATCAGGTTTGTGAAGTTGTAGTGTATAGTTTTGCATCATGCTTTTGTATATTTATGGAGAATTTTTGTGTGGGAGCGTGGGGGACACAGGCTTGGGCATTGGACAGAATCTTACAGCTAACCATAAAGAGGGTTTACAGTGAGCTTCAGGATTGATTTTATTGGTTTATAAAGCTCTTAATGGTCTTAGTCTTATTTATTTATCTGATCTGCTTTTATCACATGAGCCTCTCGGACTCTCAGGTCCTCAGGTCTCGTCTTTAAACTGTCCCAAGAGTCCAATCTAAAACTCACGCTGAGGTGACGTTCAGTTTTTACGGCCCCCGTCTGTGGAAACAGTCGACCTGAGGATCTGAGGTCCGCTGTGATTGTTCATATTTTTAAACTCAAAATGTATTTTTTAAATTTCACTTTTATTTGAAAGTCATTTTGATTAAATTAAACTATTATTATTACACTTGAATTTAACTGTAATTATTATTATTATTTTACTTAGTCTTCATCTAATTTTAGCTCTCCATTATTTATTTATTTAATTAATATACATATTTTTTACTAATACCTTTAGGAGCTTTATGTTTTACGCTTCCTTCTAAATTGCTGTACCGTATTTTCCTCACTATATGATGCGCTCTTAAGCCTCTAACAGCATCAAAAAAGGACTGCGGGCCCCACAATCCAGAGCGCCCTATACACGAATCCACTCAGGTGTCCCAGCACGACTTCAGTAAACTACAAAGCTGCACCACCCGCAGCGCACGCAAACACACACACGGAGCAGACAACGACCGCACAGCGAAAAACACCCACAGACACACTCATCAGTCCACGCCGACGAGGAAAAGAACAGAGGAACGAACCGAAAAAGCGAGTGCAATGTGCCACTTCTAGACACAACTGAACAACTGAGTCACTGCGAACACGCCGACAATCCAGCGGTCCCAGACAGCACCCTCCCTATACGCCACCACTGAAAATAGACCATTAAATGTCTTATAATCCAGAGCGCCTAATAGTGCGGAAAATATGGTATAAATGAAAGAAACCATGAAGTGGGAGTGTTGTTGCTGTTGTTTTAATCATTCAAATTTTTCTGTATGGATGATGTCTCTACAGGCATGTTTTTGATGAGGGAACCATGATATAACATGATAGAAAGCTCCAAAGAGTCAATTTTGCATAATATCCCCTCTTTCTTGTCAAACTGTGGAACATTCCAGGCAAAGTGACAAAATCTCCATGAAGACAAGCTGATGACCTCCCACCTGAAAAGTTCCATAGCGTACCTTTAAACAGTTTTGAATCCCTGAACACGTTTTTACTCCGGATGCTTCAGTGTTGTGATGACAGTGGTATTCCCTTGAGTATAACGGTGCAGCGTCACTTCTCCGGTGCGCAGAGCGGTCAGCAGGATGCCCGGGGACCCCCACCGGGCCAGCTGCCAGCCCTGTCTCCTCGGGGCAGCACACACTGGCCGCGGGTCCCTTGGGTGCTCCAGGTCCCACACACACACACTGCCTTTCTGACTGAGGCCCAGGACACAGGAGCCCGATACATCTGTCACAGTCAGCCTGGAACAGAGCAGATGAATGAACAACTCAGTGCTTAGAGTGAATGGGGATTTGTTTCTTGTTTTCATTTTAACATCTATAAATATTGTTAAAATATTAATATATATTGTGCAAAATTGACCCTTGTGAGCTTTAAGTCATGTTGCACTGTTGTTATCTCCTCAAAAACAGACCTGGACTTGTGTTTTGTTTCATTCACATGTTTGAGTAATCCTGGTTTATTAGTCTGTCTACATCCCCAAAGCTCAAAATGCTCTGTTCCACCTTTTGATGTCCGTGTTCTTTTACCTTTAGTTCAGTAGAGATCGGCAGTTCCAGGGATGAAATTATCCAAATGTTTCTAGTGAAGGTGTATGACATTTAAAAACACAGTGAAACACTTCCTGTATTACCACGTGACATCACGAGATGGAGTGTTTTCAGTTTGAGAGAAGAACCTAAATGTGCAGGGTTTGTGTGTTAAACATGTCTGACTGAAACAAAACAACTCCAGGTCTGTTTGTGATGAGGAAACGACATTATAACATAGCTCTGAAAGGAGTGTAAAATAGGCCCTTAAATGTCTTTATCATGTTTTGACTCATTATTTATACATTATATGTATCGGATCATTTTGTAGTAAAGATGTGCCATCATTGGTCTGCTTTTTTAAAAATCATATTCACACTGATTATTATTGTACTTTTTCTTCCTTTGTCATAAAACAATTTAATAATTCAGACAGGTCCATTGACTTCCTTTTCAAAATCACAGAGCTGAAAAGTTGTGTATTGGGAGTGTAGGTGAAAACAGGAATTTTCAGAGCAATAGTGCTATAATTGAATGGCAATAAAACAAACATGAATCACTCACACATGCTGGAGTGAGTTAATGATGAGAAAACCTCTTAAAGCTGGGCTACCTGGTATCCAAAGTATGTATTTAAATCTAAGTCCATAGCTCTCACAAACATCTTGACACATCACTAGTATTCTCAGTTATTGTCCATTAGCTTTTCAGAAGATGAGGCAGGGTGGACCACCGTTGGACAGACAATTTGATTTTGTCATAAACTTCTTCTTGTACAATACATTTTCTATGACAAAAACGCAGTATAATCACATACAGAAACATAAAAGGTTGCCAAAAAATGCCAAGGAGTCAGGGAGTCACAGGAGAATTTTCTTCAGGTCAGGCGTTCATCATATTACAAGGCTGGTTTTCCGCACAGGGACTTACAAAGACCATCATTCTCACGTTTGACCTGCAACTTGGCCTGGGGTGTCTCCTGCTTGTCTCCCTCCACCAGAAACGTTGCATAAAGCACCTTTAAATCTAAATATACAGTCTGAATCCATGAGCTGAAGTACAGTTTTAAAGACTGTGTACATTCTCCTCACCTGCCACTCCACTGGTTTGGTGGACACAAGGCAGTAGCCACCACTGACTTTCCATTTTTTGGGTTAGCAGCCACCAGAGAAAACACAGACTCCTCTTCCTCCACCTCTATCTCCTGATCTCCATCCAGCTCCTTCAGGGGCCCCGGGAAGTGGTGCTGCAGCAGGACAAAGAGCACCCCCTGTGGACAATCAAACACAAATCAGTCATCTGAACTTCACTCATGATAAATACAGAGGATTAAAGAGGACATATTATGCTTTTTAATATTCTAGTGATAACTAGAACACATGCAAGTCATTATTTTACATTTTGTTCTTCGTAAAGTGTAATATTTAAAGTGAATTAATATTAGAAACAGGTCCAGTGACTTAATGTAGAACTCATTTTCTGCTGCTTCATTGAGGCATTTCACTACAAGCAGGACATCTTCATGTTTTATGTTTATACACTATGTTTGACAATTGACTTTGCTTGTAGCATAAAAGATATTTACTATGTGCACTATAAATATACATTTAAGTTATTTTTCTATGCATGTTTTTGCAAGACTGTCCCAATAAAGACAACATTCATGTTTAAAAATGGCTATGCAACATTTTTAATTCCACATGTTTGACCCAGAATGTACATTTTTCAAAGAATCTACATTCAGAGCTGTAGGCGGAGATAGGGGGTAGGTGAAATGGTGGTAGGTGCTATTTCTTACATGAGTGGAGTATCCTCTGAGGCAGGCTGAGTGTGCGAGCCCATGTCCCAGTGTGAGCTTCTTCAGCAGATGCCCTGTCTCCATGTTCCTGACACACAAACACACTCATGTTAGAGAGGAACCACGGAACACTATTCTATCTGCTATGGTGACAGTGGTTTAGTCCAGCATTTTTATTTAGTGGAAGTATTTTCTGGATACTCTATTTTTAAGATAATCATTATCTAAAACCACAAGCTTAGGTCAGGGGTGTAAAGTAAGTAAGTACAAATATTTACATTACTGTAACTGAGAACATTTTTGAGTAATTCTACTTTTTTGAGTAGATTTCTTAACCTGTATCAGTATTTGTATTTGAGTATACTTCTAGCCTGTAGATGTAATTAGTTACATTTAAAATCAAGTTGGTTAATGAGTACAACACAAGTTCCATTTGTTCCAGTGCAGTGCTGTTTCTGCTCCTCAGGAGAAGTGGATTGTGATCTAAAGCCTCTTAATTCAGCATTAAACAGTTCAGTTTATCAAGTTTTGCATAAAAGATTGATCTAAAGCGCTACTAAATTAGCATTACAACTATTCCACTTACATTTTTTCAGTGTCATTACTCAAGTCCTATTTTGGTATTTTTAGTAGTAAATGCTTTAACAGTACCCCATCCCTGTAATTGAACGCTGCTTCAAAAAAACAGAGCAAAGTTCTTATGTTTTCATGTTTTGTATTCACATTTCAGTTCATGTCTTTACCTCTTTATGTTTGTGCCCAAAGCATTTCATTATAATTATGAAAAATCCTTGATGACAGATCTCACCAGATGAAGAGGGAGCCAGACTGGTCCATCCCAATCAGAGCATCTGGGAGTCCCTTTACAGGAGCCACAGAGCTGAGGAGGGCCCCAGGAGCCACCAGGGCCCGGGCCTGTGGAGGGCTGCAGGGGACAGGACAACATTATCACGGTTAATCAATAATAAGAGATATTCTGGTCACTACAAACTCACAAAATATGAATAATCATGACCATTTTAATTCAATTTATTCTCCAAAAAAGTTAATCTTAATGTACATTTTATCACGGTCTTTATATCACATTAGAGAACATGTTATATTTCCCCCAGGTATTTAGTATTAAAGGTTCCATATTACACACAATTGACTCTTGTGAGATTTAAAGTGTGTTATAATGTTGTTACGTCATCAAAAACAGACCTGGAGTAGTGTTTTGTTTCATTCACACACGTTTAACACACAAATCCTGCATATGTAGACTGAGCTCATCTCTCGAACAGAAAACATTCCGTTCCACCTTATGATGTCATGTGGTAATAGTGTTCCACTGGAACCCTTTATTAATAGTTTGTCTCCAGATCTCCAAAGACAGATCAGAATTTCACATCTTGTTCATTGTAAAGTGCAACATTAATTTCAAATGGCTTAGAAACAGAAACAAACGTGCAGAACTGATTGTGACATTTATGCTCATATTGTCATTTCACTGTAGCCAGCAGCAGATTTTAATCACTGACTTTGTTTTAACTGCCAACATGTATGACCTGGATTCTACATTTTTAAAATAATTCCAAATAAGTATAGAGCAGTGGCCAGAGATGGGGGGTAGGTGAATACAGAAATTTCCTGATCAGTTGTGCCTTAAATGCAGGAGAATACAGGATTATTCAAACAAGCAGGAATCAATCAAATTATAACTATGTTATAACTATATCTATACTAATGTGTCACCTTTAACTTGACTTTAAAAGCTGGTCACATACTAGAGGACATGCAAGATATTAGATGAGAGTTGTCACTAAACTAGCATTTCATGATAATATACAAATACTCAATTCTCCTGTTTCTTGTCACAATAGCAACCCTCACGGTCTCACCTTCTGTCAGACAGAGTGTAGACCTGCAGACTGGAGGAGGCTGAGCTGTGACAGCAGCACACCACTCTAGACTTAGGAGCAGAGATGGCCATGTGAGCAGCCCGGGAACACAGCACACTTTGGACCAGAGTGGAACAGGACAGCACCCTACGACCAGAGCGAACACAAGACAGATTCATTATGGACTCAGACTACATCACTTTACAACTTAAAGCAACACCGTGTAGCTTTCTGGTTTCATTGTCAACAGAGATAGATTATTTGTATGAAATACTGTGAAATATTATAGCCAAAGAACAATATTTTCAGCAGATGCCCTCCTCCAGGCCAAATAAAGAGTCAGGTTAGTATAATGAAAACATCCAACATGTAAGAACAGGCTTTTATTTGAGCAGATTTTTTTTGGCTTAATTCCATAAATGGTGGGGCTTAAATAAAAATCATTAAAAATACATTTCTAATACATTTTCACAATATATGATAGATCTAATGTAATAACTAATATAATGAAGTGACTGTATATTCTTCATATTCTCTCTTCACCTGACTTGTGTGATTTCCAGTTGGCCCAGTGTCAAACAGAAGTGGTCTGGGGTGTCTGGGAATGGAAACACACAGAGTACAGGCTGCAAACAAAACACAGTAACAGTTTATGACAGTATTCATGACAATGTTATCTTTTGGACAAGCAATACACAAAATTAAAGCAATGTAGCAAAAGAGAAGCAAACTTTTACAAATCTAAATGAAATGATCTCCAGAACAGTAGAACTGCTTGATTATATCTGGTTCATAACTGAGATCATGATTATTTAAAACAATTACTATTTATATTGTTAACCTGGAAGAAAAGAATACAGTAGATTAGACAGATTAGACAGCAGCATTCATCCAGGTTTCCACAGGCACAACAAGAGAACAGAATGTGCATCTGTATCATTAACAACAGAATGAAATCCCTTTTACTTTTCACTGTTTTGTAACTGATTGGAGCAACACTTGCAATCACTATTAAAATCACTATTATTTATTATATCTTTAGTGCACAGTGGAAGACTGTAGTGAGCTGACCTCCTGAAAGCTCCATGTGTGGGCGAGTGTCCAGTCACTGGTCTGTCCCTGTCTCCACACACTCACGCTCCACTTCCTGGCTGTAGCCACACTCACAGAGCCGGAGGAGGAGGAGACACAGCACATGTCCACCAGGCTGCCTCGGGACCCTGCCTGTACACACAAAATACTCTGCTTAACTCTGCTGAGTTTAGATCAAGGCCAGGTCAAAGTTTATTTATAACGCACGTTTAAAATACAATCAACACTTACCAAAGTATTAGACAGATTGAAAATAACTAAAAAGCACAATAACAGTCGTGCAATAAATACAACTGTGTTATAAAACAAGAAAATAGGAGGTAAAAAACAACAGTGCTCAACCTGTGTCAAACACCAGTGTAAAAAGGTAACTTTTCAATAGAGATTTAAAACTTTCAAAGTTTAAATACCTGCATAATGGTACACATTGTACAAATCAATCCAACATATGTAGACAATGTGTTTTTTGAATACTTGAATTTGGTGCCCTCTGCTGCCAACAGTGGGTAAGTGAAACACAAATTTACCAGAAGGAAGTCAATGTGCACCTGCTTGTCACCATGGATATGCTACTGCTATGCCTAGAATGTTCCAGTATGGCATTAAATCTGATTATTTCCATGAAGACAAGCAGGTGACACCACCAGGCCAAGTTACAGGGCAGGTTTCTGGAGTGGCGACCCCGCTCTCAGTAAGAAAGCATGTTTTTAGTGTATTTTTGAGCAATAAAAACACCTGCCATTGAAAAAACACAAGATAGATGTTTAATACCATACTCTGGAATATTCCACGGAAAAAAATCTGATCTCTCAGGAAGCACATAGGTGACAAATTCTCCAGAAAAGTTACACATTGGACCTTCATCGTCTTAAAAACATAAAAATCAGAACTAGTTCATTTGAAACAGTTTGCAGACAATAGAATATATTTGAGACAATAGAATGTAATTTTAAACATTAAATGGTCACGCTTTCTTTTATATTAGGTTCCACAGTGGTTCATGTTATGTGTATACTAGTCTATGTGCTCTTATATTTGTTCTGATACAACTCAAGATCATTCTAAACACATTCAAGATTCAGGTTCATTTCTGTCCTGTGAATATGACTTTTTTAGCGTTGATACCTGCGCCAATGAGTTTCTAGATTAGTATCAGTTTTTTGATGCTTTTGACAAACCAAGTGTACATACATTTAAAGTGCACGTGTCGTCTGGAGCTTCCTCTTCATGTCTCGGGACACCTGCCTTCTGCTGATTCAGGGCTGGTCCCGTCAGTCTGGGCTCCTGTGGCTCCGGGCCCTCACATTGACCGTGGCTTGGGTGAGCGGACGGAGTGGGGGGCAGGCTGGGGGGCAGAGGTCTGAGGGAGGGGCATGGCGAGAGGGCGGGGGGAGACAGGGCCTCGGAGCTGGGGCTGTGATGCGGAGGAGGGGTGAGGAGAGGGGGCGAGAGCGGAGACGCCACGCCCAGCTCGGGCCTCTCCTGCCGGGGGGTAAAACCGACCAGGGGCAGGGCGAGGGGGCAGGACGCCGAGCAGAGGGAGGGGCTCAGGAGCAGCTGTGAGGGGACGCGGCGGTCTGCCAAATTTTCACATTCGAATTTGTCAGTTTTTGTTCGAATATTTTTAAAAGTCTGAGGTGAATTATTGTTTGGTGGAATATCCTGATCACTCTCTAATTCATGAACATGACTGTCATTTTTCAAGATGTTAATTTCTAAATTCAAACACTGAGAATCAGCATTACCTGAAGATTTGGGCTTTGCAGCATCAGTCCCATTTTGTGTTTGGTTTTCAGGAAAAGATGTTATATCTTTTACCGTGCCTTCCTTCTCAAGTGTTGTACTATTTAGAGTGGAAATCTGATCTTGGCTGTCAATTTGCTGCTCTGAATTTTGATGTTTTAAATATATATTTGAAGTCACATTTTTACATTCTGGTTCTGAAGACATTGCATTTAAAATCGTTGAATCAGAACATCCAATCTGCTTTTCCTGGTTTAAAACTTCAATGTTATCGTCTATTTTGTTTGCTTTGCCATTCGGTGAAGCAAGCTCTGCCTCAGGTGTGGGGGAGGGAGGCGCAGGACTAAGCGGAGGTGAGTGTGCGCAGTGGTTGGTAGCGGTTGCGGTCTTGCCGGATGCGGATTCGAGTCGTTCCACTCCAGAAACGATTTGTTGAAGTTTGAGGAGCTTCAGGGAGCCGAATTCGTCGTCTGGGAGGTGGAAGTCGAGTGGAAGCTGGATGTCGGAGCGGAGCAGGGTTTGGAAGAGAGAGGATGGAGGGAGAGGGGAGAGAGAGGGGAGGTCGGTCTGGGGAGAGGAGGGCAGGAGGAGGGAGGGCCACTCTTCTGGAGCTGGAGGAGACAACAAGGAAAGACGGACATGTTAGAGGAACAGAGGAGCTCATTCTCCAACAGGCTCCTACAGCTCTGCTCAAACAGTCAGAGATACAGGACTACATTCATACTATAATACTCCCTACAACTGTTTAAAATCTCACCTTTATGTAAAAGATAATACTCCCTACAACTGTACAAAATCTCACCTTTATGTAAAAGATAATACTCCCTACAACTGTACAGCAACTCATCCTTATGTAACAGATAATACTCCCTACAACTGTACAACTTACCCTTATGTAACAGATAATACTCCCTACAACTGTACAACAATTTACCCTTATGTAGCAGATAATACTCCCTACAACTGTACAAAAACTTACCCTTATGGAACAGATAATACTCCCTACAACTGTACAACAACTCACCCTTATGGAATAGATAATACTCCCTACAACTGTACAACAAGTCACTCTTATGCAATAAATAACCCTATGTCTTGTCAATCATTACTTAATCTTTGCACTGTTTTCCTCACGACCTCTTGTAGATTGTAGAGATATTTTTGTATTACAATATTTATTTCATTTTTATGTGTACATTTACATCGATATAATTATGCCTTATCAGTCTCTTGCTATGTTTGCTACTTATTTTGGATTTTTTATGATCATTTATATGATTGGTCTTTGTTATTATAATATACTGTTTACTTTTGTGATGGTACTGTATATTTTCATTTTGTCTCTTTGATGTCTTTGTCTTTAATAAAAATATATTTGATGGAAATATATAGTGATACAGTACGCATGTACTCAATTCTACTTGATACATCAGTGTCTCTCAAACTTAAACCAGGTCTATAATAGCACTATTGCAGGTCTAATCTAGGACTAAACCAGATCTAAACCAGGTCTATAACAGATCTATAACAGATCTATAACAGGTCTATAACAGGTCTATAACAGGACTATTCCATACAGAAGTGTCTCTCGAACTTTTCACGACAAGTATCAGATTTAAACCAGGGCTACAACAGGGCTTTTGCTGGTCTAATTTAGGACTAAACCAGGTCTATAACAGGACTATAACAGGACTATTTCATTTAGAAGTGTCTCTCAAACTTCTCACGCCAAGAATCAGATCTAAACCAGGTCTATAACAGGACTATTTCATTTAGAAGTGTCTCTCAAACTTCTCACGCCATGAATCAGCTCTAAACCAGGTCTATAACAGGACTATTCGATTTAGAAGTGTCTCTCAAACTTCTCACGCCAAGAATCAGATCTAAACCAGGTCTATAACAGGACTATTCCATTTAGAAGTGTCTCTCAAACTTTTCACGCCAAGTTTCAAATCTAAACCAGGTCTATATTAGGACTATTGCAGGTCTAATCTAGGACTAAGCCAGGTCTATAACAGGACTATTCTAGGACTAATCTAGGGCTAAACCAGGTCTAAAATGGGACTACATCATCATCACTGTAGTTTTAAACAAGCAAATTATCCAAAGGAGGACTAAAAAAAGGTTAAAAAAATGAAACTAAGCAAACCCACAAACTGTAGAGTTGTCCAAGCATCACCTGAAGAAGGTTGTACCACAATTTGAAAAACACTGCCATACATTAAGATGTTACTGCTATCAATAATCACACAAACAAATGTGATTGCACTTTGTATCTTTTCACAGTATTTTTAACAAAGATATGACATTGTAGCCTCCTGAGTATATTATCAGTTTAATTACAGCACAAACATTGGATTTCATAAAATTTTAAAACTTACCAGCCTTTTCCTGTACATCATTCGTCTGGCTTTGGTGGGTTGGGAGAACTATAGGGTCATTCTCCTGTACATTCAGAGTCTGTGCGTCTTCTAGTACTGTAGCTTCATTAACTACACCACATGCGTCTTTAGGTTGGACCTCCTCTGACTCTGGATCTTTACACATGAGTTCACACTTAGGAGTGGACAACGCTACAAAGAAGTCCTTCGCCTGTGTTTTATTTACTATTTCTTTCACATCTTCTTGATGTCTTCCTCGACCTCTACCCCTACCTCTTCTTCCTCTTCTCCCTCGCCTTCCTCTGCTCGGAGTTGCTGAAACTGAAGCTCCATCTAAGCTCAGAGAGAACTCAGAAGAGCTGGGACTGTTACTCCCAGAAACATCTTTAGTAGCTTCCAGAACGGACCGATCTTCTGAAACTGTCAGATTCAGCCTTCTACCCCTGCCCCTCCTCTGCCTGCCCTTATGGAGATGGGACAAAATGACGGCATTCATATCGGGCTGGCTCTGCGACACAGACATGCGCCGGGTGGTTCTGACGTAGTACTCCGCCGGGAAAAGCAGTCCATCGATGAGAGTGCAAGAATCTACGAGTCTCTGGCCACTGAGTTCTGGTTGGGTCTTCCCCACTTTGACCTCAGTAGTGTTTGAAGGACTTGTGCTCCTCTGTATTTGCTGTTGATTTCCTTTCTCAAGAACGTCGTCCAACTTTGAATACATTTTATGACTGTCTTTAAATGGACATACTTTAGTTTCCATTTGCAAAGATGCAAAGTTTGACGATTTTTCTTCACTATTTGAGGCTGCATTGACCATCTTTTCTAGAGTTACCTGTTGGTCTTCTGCCTGATGGTTTCCATTCTTATAAACATCTCCTAGTTCTGAGTGGTTTGTATCGTTGTCTTTATATGGAGAAATGTATTCAGACTGAAACAGAAAAAAATCAGAGTTTGAGAAATTTTCTTCACTATTTGAGACCATATCAGCCTCCTTTTCTGAACTTAGTTGCTGGTTTGCAGTCTCTTCTTTTTCAACCTTGGATTGTTCTACCTGGTGTTTTCCATTTTTGTATACATCTAGTACTTCTAAACTAAAGTTACTGTAGTCCTTGCGTGGCGAAACTTCTTTAGCTTCAAGCAGCAAAGAAGTTGATGAGTTCTTTTCACTATTTGAGACCATATTTGCTCCCTTGTCTAGAGCTAACTGTTGTTTCATGGTCTCTTCTTTTTCTTCCTTAGCATCTTCTGCGCAATCATTCAAAGTTAGAAGATGTTTACGTGAATGGGAAAGAAAACAGTTGTTTGTTTTTTGGGAGTTTGGTGCCTTTTCTTCGCTATTCAAAACCGTATCTATTCCCTTTTCAATTACTAGCTGTTGGTTTGCAGTCTCTTGTTTTTGTACGGGACCTTGCAAGTTCCAGTGTGGTAGCAGCAGAGAGGACGACTCATTTTCAGATGAGAACAGCTCTTCACTTTCCTGTAAAACAGGTGGATCATTGAAGTGTTTCCTCTCTCCATCCTGGGACTTCTCTGGTTGGTCGAGGCTGATGGCGGTTGCTGGGTTTGACTGGGCGCTCTTCTTTGCCCAGCGGAGGCGGCTGCGGCGGGAGCGGAGGCGGAGGGCGGGGCTGCTTTTGGGGATCTGAGCCGAGTCCTGGCTGGAGTCGGAGGTCGGGGTGTAGGCCGTGTCAGATACGAGGGAGAAGTGAACAGTCTGGTTATGTTTTACAGGGCTCCTTTCGACAGCAGTGGCCAGACCTGTTGAAAAGACAAGAGACAACTAATATATTTACAATTATTGTGAGAAGAAACACAGAAATGTAATGGTTATTCATGATTACTGACAGCAAACAACAATGAAATCCTTAAGTATCTTTCATTTCTGTACTTTTTGGAGTATAGATTGAATGGAAATTAAGTTAAATTTGCTTCTAAAATTGTCATGATTATTATTCTTTTGCTTTTACAATTCATATTGTGAGCTGAAAAATCACAATGATGCATTAACTGAATAATCATGACATCCCTGCTAAGATTGGCCCAGTATCCAAAGTAAGATATGTGTGCAGCCGTTCTGTGTTGTGAATTAGGGCTGAATGATTTTTACCTTTGCAGTTAGTTTTAATGATAAAAAAAATAAAAATAAATACAGCCTTTGTGATTTGCGTCTGGTCAAACTGCTATTTCGATTTGATTGCAGTTCATCTTGCAACTCTATTATGAATGATACTGGCAAGGGAATTGATTCTGGCCTAATCTACAGTGTGGTATAAAAGATGGAGTGCTGTAACAATAATATACAGTCAGTCTATTTCTGTGTACCCCTTCTGTGTTGTTCTGTTAAGTTTTTGTTAAAATAAGTGCAATAAGTGCTGCTCGACTGCACAATCCTGCCGTCAGACTGTACAATGAACAATGCTAGCCCTCTACATGTGTCCTCCACCTGCAGCCATCATGTGCAATACTGTAACAGAATGTGAATCACCACCTCAAGTCACGTTGCCAACTGTTTATTCTGTTCATATGCTGCACTGCACACAGGAGCCATATCCACTTATTTTACAACATAGTGTAATGTGTATTTTTGCTCTACTTGCACACTGATGTCGTATCACATTTAATTCTATTATAATATTCTAGAATAGTTATTTATCTTGATTTCTGAGTGCATATTTCTATTCTCCTGGTATTCTTGAATTGTGGATTGAAATTGTGGAATTTCCCCACTGAGATAAAAAGCTTCCTTTGTCTAATAAATGAGTAAATAAAATATGGGAAGTTCTAATAAATTATTTGGGGAAAAAACAAATTCTTGTTTTCTTGTCTTGCAGGCTAACTATTATATATACAGAAGACATGTGAACTGAAAGGTTTGTCTGTTCTCTGGTAAGGAGGATGTCCTGATTTGAAACTACTTCAGTGGCATGAATAGTATAGCCTAGTTATGTTATCTAAATACAATGTTCATAACTTGAACAATATCTACACTATTATTGTGAATAGTGGTGAAAGAAATACTGAAAATGTGTACTCTAGAAAAAGTACTCTGGACTCCACTCAATAAAGTAGTTAACAAATACAATTAAAAGGCTAGAATTACACTAAATACAGGTCAAATCTAAAAGTACAAATACCCCATAATCTAGTCAATTACATTAACCTGAATTTTAATAATTAGAAGTCACATATCACCCCTGTATCATAGCCTGCTATAACAGCACTGTGATTTAACCAGGTTGCAGAGAATATATGCTGTCCCTACACTACATCAAAAACCTTCTAAGGATCCTGTGTGAATGATAAAAACAGAACATACATAGCCCCATCTTTTCAGTATTAGTACTTTGTAAATATGCCAGACAGCAGCAGTTTTGGTCTAACTCTGAATAGACCACACTTACCTGGAGAAGCCTGCTGTGTGTGACCCCTGTCTGAGTGAGACTCCTTGGTTCTTTCCTGCTCCGCTGTAGATGGGGGTGGTGGTTTGGAGTCTGCTTCGGTTTGGTCATGGCTGTTGCGCCGAGTGATCCGGCTCCTCACACGCTTGCGCACCGAGTCCACTTGCTCTGCCCGCTACCACAGAAGTACATTTTAGAAGTTAAAAGATCATTACATGAAGATAGTTTTGAGCTTTACCTTGAGTCTCTGGGCTGTTCGGAGGTATTCCTTTTGTAAGAGTGCCAACTTTCGACGAAGCTGAAAAAAATGAAGACAAAGGTCAGGATTTTCGAAACAGAAATAACAAAGGCATTCATAGTTAGACATTATTAGACAGTATTAGAATATAACAACTTGTACTGGAGTAATTCACTTTAGTATCAACACCCTTACATACATACACCCATGCACAAGAATTAAAATAATAAGTCCACTCAATTGCTACAATTCTGTAATAGTTACACTGAATTGATAGATTAGATTGTTACACTGTAATAGTTGCACTGAATTGATAGATTAGATCACAATCTATTTATCAATCTATTTTAAAAAAAGGGTTTTAAAATTTCAAAATTATATATAATAATAATAATTATTATTATATAATCTCTAAGGACTAAGGAATCATTCTCCCACAGGCTCTTGCAGCTCCACTCAAACAGTGAGAGATACACAACTACATGCATACCACACTCCATACAACTGAACAACAACCCAGCCCTATGTAACAGATAATACTCCCTACAGATGTACAACAACTCACCCACCACACCAAGATTCTACCTGAATGACTGCGGTATTTTACACAAATTACTTGAGTACATTCCAAATTCCTCCTATTTAGTTATTTATTACTTGTCATTCTTTACTTAATAGAGCTTGTATGCTAAGGTGACCAGATTTTCAAAATCTAAACCTGGGACACCCCCCGTTTTTGGTGGTAATAAAATTGGGAAACAAATGCGTAATTAAGGAAAACTGTTCTGCACTCAGCCAATTCATGACTTATTCACAACTAACATGTGAGTCAGTATAGCCACATTTTCTTTCTGATTTGGTCACTTTTCAGCAGCTTTTCTGTATTTTACCCAAACAAATGACAATGTATGCCTCTCTTTACTGTTGGCAGGGATCAAATTGGTCATAAATAGGGCCCCTGGGACATTTCTTGTATAAAACTGGAACAAATCACTGGTTTTGGATAAATCTGCTGGGACAGGGGACAGAGGGCTCAAAACCGAGACTGTCCCGGGTAAATAGGGACATGTGGTCACCCTATGTGTAAAATATCTGCTTGCTTTAGTACTTTTTTCACCACTTCAGTACGTGTCTCCCATCTCACCTTCTCCTTGTCGTTGTTGTGCAGAGTGCTCCTCAGCTGCTCCTCACAGTGCAGCAGATCCCCCAGCCTGTCCTCCATCGTGGCCCTTCTTCCTGGGACCAGGGCATGGATCTGGATCAGGTCAACGCTAGTGTACCACTACATACGTGTTTACAGCAGTTTTTTATTTCTCCATCTTGCCAAATATACCGGCCCCTGCCATTTGTGTAACTCTCCGACTAGCTCTTGGTTCACACTTTGCCAGTTAAACTACATAAACAGCACGAATCAGACGCACACCCTGGTGAAATACACACATACAAAGGAGCGTTAACGACAAGGAATGTTGTCGTGTTGATAAATAACTTGTGCGTAAAAGTAAAAAAGTTATTCATTTAGCTTAGTGCTGCTGTGTCGCGCTCATGTTGTGGAGGACTGATCGATGCTCTCTGGGTTCGACGCACTTCACGTTTCCCGCGGTTGCAGCCGGTCTCGCGCTCAGGCTAGAGCAGTGGAGCCCCAAGACCTCGATTAGCACACATAAAAAAAGAAAAAGAAAAAGAAAAGACAATGATTATATATAACGAATAAATAATAAAATAATTAAAATTGAATAGAATTGTGTACATTTATAAAGTTGTTCAGATGTTCCAATTTACCAGGGGAAGTCACACTTTTAAAACCAGTTTTTATTTAACGTCCCAAATGTCCCAGATGTCCCAGATGTCCCTACTTTTTACTAATTGCAGGTATGTCATGAAATGGTTAAATGTAGAACCGAAATGTAACCTCACCAATAATTTCGTTATTGACTAATTGAATTTTATATATGTGCTAAGCAGTGTTGGGAAGGTTACTTTTAAAATGTATTCCCCTACAGATTACAGATTACATATCCCAAAATGTAGTTTGTAATGGAATCCATTAAATTACTTAAAGTGAGTAACATAATCTGAATACTTTGAATTACTTGATTTGCTGAAGAGAAGCAAAAACCAGGATATTGTAACATAAGAAGTTTTGTCTGCTAAAAGAAAATAAAAAAGCCCAGACTTTACCAAACCGTATTAAAAATATTTAATAATATCTTCTATTTCTTTTTCTATCAAATTTATTTATATTTTCTATCTAATTGATAGAAGACGGGGAGACACGTCCACGCAGCATGGTTTAGTCCTGTTAACTCCTGTTTTAATCCTGGTTTAGTCCTGGTTTTAGACCTGGTTTTAGACCTGTTTTAGATCTAGTTTAGATCTAGTTTAGACCTGGTTTTAGTCTTGGTTTAGTCCTGGTTTTAGACCTGGTTTTAGTCCTGGTTTAGACCTGGTTTAGATCTAGTTTAGACCTGGTTTTAGTCCTGGTTTAGACCTGGTTTAGACCTGGTTTAGACCTGGTTTAGATCTAGTTTAGACCTGGTTTAGTTTCCAGCAATGAGTGGGGGGGAAATGTGAAAACAGGAAAATACCTCCATGTAATCCATTTATTTCAACAAAGTAACTGTAATCCAATTACCACTCACTGAAACAGTAACTGTAACTGAATACAGTTACTCATAATTTGTACTCTGATTACGTAACTCTGGTACATGTAATATGTTACTCCCCAACATTGGTGCTAAGTAGTTGTAATTTTTGCCTTAATCTCAATCTGTTTTTTAATGATTAATGGCATGCTTTGTTTCTTGTGGGTCTTGCATGTAAAAATAATCTTTTCTAAGGGGCTAACATTTTTTTAATTACCCTTCAAGTTATTTATTTGAATGGTTCCTGTATACAAAAACATACAGTTAATGCAACAGAATAACCTGCTTAATAGGAACACACAAATAAATGATATATGCACCATAATATATTTTCTATATATTCATTTAAATTTTTTTATTCATGGCTCATTAAATATTGCATAGCCTGTTTTGCAAGGTGATTACTTGAATATGTTATATTTATTCTATTCTATGTTTTATTTTACAGATCGGTATGGTCACATTTCTTGCTAGTTGATCCTGGACGGCCTTTCTACCTATGACTGAAGTGGGAAGGACAGAGGTTTTTTATGACATTTTTGACCTGGCTGAATTTGGTGAATACTTCAAGGCACTTGGTCCTCAGACCCTCACAAACTTTACACCTCTATTCAAAGAACTGTCTACAACATGGACGTTGGATGTGTCAAAAGAAACCCCAAGAGTGAAAGGCTGACTCTTGAGATAAAAAGTTCCTGCAGTGTTAATGTTTATAATTACCAGGACTGCCTCTATTGTGAACATTGTTATTGTCATTTATATAATGGAGAGAAAATCTTGTTTCAAACAGTCAGACATGCTTCTCTCATTTTTGGAGATGAACATGCCTGAATTTCATTCAAAACAAAATCTTGATTTATCCATCAGCTGCTTGCATTGAAAAATGAACTTAAAAAACATACCAACTGTTGAGGGCACAGAGAATTCTTGCTGTCGGTTGTATTTTGCAAAAATAGTATTGTGTGATATGGCTTGTTTAAATTGTGTTGATTGTATGATGTGCATTGTTTTAATACAAGTTAAGCTGAAATGGAATTTTGTGGTGGTTTTCCTTATTTTATATTTGTAAAAGGGATTATGAACTAGAATGACCACAGCACTTACATTGTATTTATTGCAGAAAGAGTTACTATTGAATAGTGTAACATGAAGAACACTCTACACTATTTCTACTTCATAAAGTGTTAAAACATAGCAATATAGAGTAATTCGTTTTTCACTATACACAAGTCTAAAAAAAATCTAATCTTAATCATTGTCAAATTCAACTATGATGAGTGTGGTTATATCACTTTACCAGTGTTGAACTTTCTTCACTTTGGAAAGTATAGTTTTAACTGATTTTACTGTGGACCCCATATGACATGGTAAAAGTGTTAAAATGAACAATATACGAGTTGAATTAACACTCTTGAATTTGATGTGTGTATTTTCTACTGAAGAACTATTTTTGCAGCATTAAAAAACAAACAAACAAAAAAACAGACTACAACCCCATGGATCATGACTGAAAGGGTTAGGCTGACGTTAAAAAGTGCTGTAGGCTCAAGTAAAAAGTATAGTTTAGTAAAAAGTATACTTATATATAATACTTATATATACTGAAGTAAAAATATATACTGAAGTAAACTATTACTAAAAAATGTATACTGAAGTAAAAAGTACATATAATGCCTAACCCTTTTAAATAATGACAGAATTCCAAGAAAGAAATCAGCGTATGAACAGCAAGTTTGCATTTACAATTTCACTTACAACTTAGTGTATAAATAAGAAACAAAAACAAACAATTTCAATCATAATTCATTCATTTCAGAGCTCTATATCTTTCAAAATATAATGCTTTATAAACTTTTTATATTAGACTTTTTTTCACCCTTCAGGCTGTTCCATATACTCAATCCTCAAAATACAATCACTTTTTTCTTAGTTTTTTAAAAGATGTCCTTTTGTCTGTTTATGGTCGTACAAACTAATAATAATGATAAAGAAGGCACAGAATCTATCGTTTATGATTGTATCAAAATAAAGGTATGGCATAGAAAATGTTAAATTATTCGGATAGTAGTATGAATTATCATTAAGTATATAGTATTCATGATATTATTATAATATTAGTTAATAATGAATTCTTATCCATGAGTTGATCCATGACCGAGATGAACATAACCTTTGACCCCTCACTGTGGAGGACAGAAACGAATGATGAAAGTGTGCGTTGTTTTAGTCTTGTACTCTTGTGCCTGCTTAATTCTGTTGCTTTTAGTTTCATCTGTTGCTCGGACTTGTCAAAAGATACGTCAAGGTTAGTTTGAAATGTTATTTGTCGTAACAAATAAAGTCATTTCACACTGATTAAATAAAGCTAACACGCAAGCAGCTGAGAATGACGCTGTTGCTATTCTAAACGCGCTAAAATGAGCCGAGCGAATTAAACACAATGGACATGCACTTTTAATGAGTTAGTTTATTGTTAGTCATAAAAACATGTCACTCTTACACACACATAAAGACATTCTGAGCAAAATGAAGTCTGAATCAATTAAGCTAAACTAAACCAATTAGCGTTACAGGTGTTAAATAAAATAGCGTTCATCAACATGGCTGCAAAAATAAGATAAGAGAACCTACATAACACATGGAATTGTACACGCCTGCAACTATACTGTAACAATTGTGTAATATAATATGTAGAACCCAAAATTTATATCTATTTTTAAATGTTTTTCTCAGTCAGTTTTCATACTAATATATTGATCAATCAGTACTGTTATTTATGTGTTTTTAGTAAGTAAACTGGTAGCTCTTCATTTGACAATAAGCAGTATGTAGTTGTAGTATGTAAAAGAAAGCAGCAATGTTTGGCACTCCATTCCAGTTATCTACTTATTTTCTCCACACAGTAAATAACACAGCTATAATTGAAACTCCACCTTATCAGAAAGTGTGGTGAAGTTTATCAGAGGTGGGTAGAGTAGTGCACTCGGGTAAGAGTAATGTCAAAATTATATTATTCACGTAGAAGTACAAAGTATTGCTCCAACAAATTACTCAAGTAAGAGTACAAAATTTGGGAAAACTACTCTTCACGTAAGAGTAACTTAAAGAGTAACTGTTGAGACATAACATCTGATTTATCATTTGACGTTAAAGTGATGTGAGGAACAAAACATTACATAATGAACCAGATCTGATATCAGACACATGAATGAGACAAACTAAATCATATGTGAAGGAGCGCCACAAGAAACACAGAGTTTCAAATAATTTCATATTGTCACATAAAGCTTTTGTCATTTGTAAATTTACTCACAGTGGGAAGAGGAAGCACAGCTTTTAGTTAAGTAAGATTACTTCAATAAAAATATTACTTGAGTATAAGTAAAATTATGTTGCTGAAAAAGTACTCTGAAAAGTAAAGATTCTTTAAAAAGTTACTCAAGTAAATGTAACTGAATAAATCTACCCACCTCTGCACTCTAATACTAATATACCAATAATGTCTTGTCTATAGTTTTTCCCATGTATTTCTGTGCATTTCCCTTCAGTTTGGTGACACCGTTCGGCTCCTCAGACAGCCACAGGTCAGGTACTTCATGGCAGTCATGCTGATGTGCATCAGAGAGCCCATGTTGAAGAGCATGTGGTAGAAGGCGTGGACAGACAGGCCTCCAGTCTCGTCGGCATACTTCATGGCTACGATGGGCGTGTACAAGGGGTTGGTGAGGTTCCGGAAGCGCGGTCTGCTTGCTTCAATCACCTTCTTGGTACACTGTAAGACAACGGTAATTTTGAATGAGGATTCCATCAATGAAAGAGGGACAGACTCAATCCATGATGTTATCTAAAATTCTCCCAAATAATATATTTGATTATTAACAAGAATTAACACTATATAATGTTATTAAGAATTTCTTAGAGTCTGCGCTGTGTAACTCTTTTTGTAGGGGGTCTGTCCTCTTTTTGTCTCTGTGTAGGTATGTACTGTATGTATCAATCTCCATGGAGACAAAAAGACGCACCACCAAGTTATTGGGCAGATTTGAGGTGACCCTGCTCACAGGAAGAATGCATGTTTATTTAGCAATAAAAATACTTGCAAGAACAATTACAAGTTACAGAATTGATACATTCCAGGCAAAGCAATTACATCACCATGGAGATGAGCATGTGGTGGACTCCCACCAGAAAAGCAACATAATGACAGATGTTTAATTTAAATTTACCATTATTCTAATTTTATTAAAAAATAATGAATACCAAGATATTCTCAGGAATTATAACTGTAAGAAAATGCTGTGAGCAATAGCCATAACTATTATTTTAATTTTGGTTAGACTTGACAGCATGACATTTACATGACAAATATAAGTATTTGTGTAGATCTACATACAACTTATATTTTTAAACAGATCTTTTCAATGTTGACACTTATCAACATCCTTTAATTGCTTTGTGCTTAAATGAACATTGTTATGAATCACAGCAAACAGCTAATATATAAGACCTCTAATAAAAACATCTACTCAAACTGCAACACCTAGTGTGTCCCATACTTTGGCAATGTCGTCCGGAGTCTGCCCCAGTGCCTCAAAGATATCCAGAGAAGACGGGAGGTAGACGTTCTTAAAATAGTGCACAGTGTCAGGGTCAGCGCCAGGACACTCTCTCTCTTTCACCTCCTGCATCATCTTCACCTCAAACTCTGTGTGCACCGGGCCAGGCTCGATCAGGGACAAGCTGCAAACAAACAACACACAAGTCACCTCTCTAAGCTACAAACAATCATGATCGGATCCATTTACCGTAGACACAAATAACTTACGTAACATTAAACTTGAGAAGCTGCACAGCTAAACACTCGCAGAAGCCCTCCATGGCAAATTTGGATGCTGCATACACATCGTTGAACACCACTCCTGCACAGAAGAAGAGTATGTAACTTTGTAGTCAGGGCTTGACACTAGCCAGTCTGAATTATGTCCTCTAGAACTGTAAATGCTCAGTTCCATCTAATAAAAAGGCATTGCTGGTTTTCTCTGTGTGTGCACTCACCCTGCAGACCCATGACACTGCTCACCACGATGATGTGTCCCCCGCGTCGCTTCTTCATGTCAGGCATCACCTCTTTAATCATGCGGATCACTCCAAAGAAGTTGGTCTCAAACACCTTCTTCATCTCCTCTATGGGGATGCTCTCCACTGGACCCACCAGGCCAATACCTGCATTATTAACTGTTTGACAAGACATGGTATGGATGTCAATATGAAAAACACATATAAATAAATCACTCCTTTATTGACAATTACATTTGTGAAACATTTTGCATAAGGTTAGCCACACTTGTGGAACAACCCCCAGGTCTTAACTACAAAAACTGTATAAACCAGGTCTAAACGATCTAATTAAACAGGTCTAACTTGGAGGAAACAGACTCAGCCAATTCTAAACCAGATCTAAATTTGCTCCTGACTCCTCAGTACCACCAGCAGGGGTCTCCACACCACATTCTGAGAAGCACTCATCAGAAGGATGGTGCTGAGCACTAATCTGGCAGCATGATTACTGACATAATCAGGATACAACCCCTAATGCAGTTATCCAACTCTCATCAAATCACTGTTCAAAAATACAAATATTCCCAAATTGATTTTGCTGCATCAACAAAATCTCGAAAAACTGTTCATTTGTGGATATGCTTACTACAGTACTGTTGTTCTGACCCTCTCCAGTTTCATAGAGCCCGCTGGCTGTGACTTACTGAGGACATCCACGTGGCGATCCTTGATGCCGTTGATGCACTGTTTGACCGACTCGTCGTTGCACACGTCCAGCACTGCCAGAGACAGGGTCTTTCCGTAGGCGTCTCCAGCCGCCTCCACCAGCTTGTCCTTCCGTTTCAGGTCTCGCATTGTGGCTATGACTGTGCACAGAGAGGTCACAGGGTCCACACACAAGAGATTATGTAAGAGCAATTAGACTGCTGTTATCTACACCCAATTAGGCATCACAACAGCATCATAACAGTCCTGTGAATGCACACTCATTAAACGAAGGCTACACATCATCAAGTATTATAATTTTATTGGAATGAAAGTATCAAAAAGAAGTGGGATGTGGTAAATAGTAGTAATTAGGTTAGAGCGCTCCAAGCCTATTATGATTATTAATGAATAATGATTCATTTCAGAGAGCCACACTAAACAAAAGACCAATTCATTTTTCTAACATTGAAAATGTCTTTGAGAATCTTAGTCTTAATCAAATCATAGATTAAAGACAGAATTTCAGAAAATATTGCACAGTGCAGAAGAGTAGATGTTTTTGTGAGATGGGGGGATAACGTATGAATACATTCTGAATTACTTACTCACCTAGCTATCTTTTGTTCACAGAGGACTGGACTGCAGCTGAGTGAAGATGTCCTCACTCCTCAGGTAAATGAATATTTATGTCACTAATAAAAGATGCACTTCATGTCTCTCTCAAATAATAATAAATATAGAAGTATAGTCTAATAAAGTAGCTCAGCATAGACACTAAACATGACTTCAAGCGGACAGCATTAACATTGCATTCACATTTTATCATTAAAACGAAATTCCATAAGTCATCCTTCCATAAAATCCCTGCCCAATACTTCCAGTGGCCTCAATAACTAATTATACTAAACTCATAATGATTGAGTTTATAAGTATATTATTATTGTGTGTTTTTTACCTTACGAAAATTTGTCAATAGCTCCTTTGTACATATGTATTTCCTGAGAAAAATGTGAATTCATCCAATACTAATACAATAAAAAAAATCAAAACAGATGCAGTATGGTCTAGCTAGAAGTCACTAGTGAATCTTCAAGTTCAAAGTGGCTTCTTCCGTTAGGCTTTTTTGTACTGCCAAGCTTATAATTACTGCACATTGTCCTGCAGGTGTGAGTTTGTGAATGAATGGAGCACTCCTTTTTTCCACATGTTATCTTCAGGCCCTCAGGCTGCTCCGCTCATTTGGCTCTGCTTTAGCAGGCTTCTGCCCAGATAAATGACTCTGTTTACATCAGGCAACCTCAACATCAGTTAATTGTCTGCCACTGACCTCACTGGCATTTTGTCAACTAACTGATTGTGCAATTTGTGCATCATAAATGGCTCCTTCTTATTTGATTTCCCTGCCATCAACAGAAAGAAGATGTAAATGTAAGTTCAAATCCATTTAAACTGAATAATATTAATGCATCTCATGTAGTGACATAGTGGTTTTCTTCGGAATCAACATCACAAGTCTTATTCATTCACTCCTCAGTCAGTATGATAGTCGGCTAGTTCTAAAATAACCTTTATGTTTAGCTCTAAGAAGACTATGCTAAGTGTTTTTGCAGTCATGTTATAACAGACTGTTTATCTGTCAGCCACCCAGAAATAACCCAGTCTGGTCCGCTAACCCGAGCTCTGGGAGGACAGTTAAGCTATGCACAGCTTGAGCCTATTGTCTTAGGTTCCTTGTAGCTTAAGATGGGCTAAAGGTTAAACATGGTTTACAAACAACTGTATAAGACATGGTCAGGTTCACATAAGGTGTGACTTTTTTTTAGATGAATGTATTTTAATTCTGCATTTATGATATTATAATGTTATAATGTTATAATATTATTATGTGATATTATAAATGATTTATAATTTGCAATGTAGCATCCATCTCTCTTTCTCTCTTGATATGACATTTTGTTTTCAGTTTTGACTAATGAAGGAACTTATTGTCAATTCTCCATTCTACAAAACAAAAGAGACCATCACTCAAGAAGGTTAAAAAAAAATAAAATAAAAATCATATGCTTCATAACATCCTGATTTTCATAAATTAATAAATTTTTAGTTTTTATATTACATTCAAATATGCCTTTTTAGAAATAGATGGGTCTTAAACCTAATTTTTTGTTCTTGTGGTGAGCCAAAACCCAAAAGAGCGAATGAAACTCCTTGTTATACAGTGTCTCTCTGAGCTGACCTGGTTTGCTGTGATTGAACTTCTCTGTTTTCCCTCAGATCACACAGACACACAGTCCAGTGCACTTACCATGGTAGCGCTTCTGCTCATCTTTGGCCAGCATCACAGCCATGCGCAGGCCGATCCCGGAGGAGCAGCCCGTGATGAGCACCACTTTCTGTCCGGGGCTGGCCATGGCTCCTGCCGCTTTGTCCCGGGATGCTGTGAGGGCTGAGCTGTGCCGAGCTGTGCCCAACTGCACTGAGGTGAGAGTCCATAAGAGGATTCACGCTGTGTGTCACATGGTCTCCCAGGGATTATCTAACAGAGCGCACACACTCACAGTAAGTATGAGAGTGCAGAGGGGCCCGTGCTCCTCAGCTGTGGAAATGTATTCATGTGAAAGACCTGCCCCGACCTGACACCTGTGCCTCCAGTGCTGCCAGTGCATTCATCTCATCACTCATTGTCAGTAATAGGCTTCAGCGCACAACCTTGAAATGTTTAACACGGATATGGCGCCACCCAATGGTCAGAAATGAAATTACCGTGGGGTAAACTTCATAAATGATTTTTAGGAATAGGTCTCAGATAACATTTGCTTTGTTTTTTTTTTACTTTTAACTTTAATACTTTAATAAAAAACACACACACACTGACACACAAACTGTCTTTTCCATAACAGGAAATCTAAACAAAGAGTATCCTACGTAAATTTGACTGTCCAAACTAAATTATCGTAAATGTAAATCTATTTTTCCTAAACTGCTTCTGTGTCTGTTGTGTGGAGTGTGAACGAGTGCATCTCCCAGCTCAAGGTTGAAGACACATCCTGCAGCAAAAGGTGTAGGTGCTATGGAAAAATGCCTGGAATCTGTTGTATGGCTTCTTCCATGGCCGTGCATTTAATCTTTATGTTGATGAACAAAACATTTGTGCAGGTTTAATAAGCAGTCAGGTGTTGTAAACCAAGCCATTAGTCAATGTAAGTACAAAACGTGAAAGCACTTCAAATTTGTATTCTAGCCTTGGTTTTTATAAGCAGCAATGCAGCATCTAATGAAACACATGGCATGGCATTTAGCAAATAATGTTATATCACACAGACACACGTATCACATATTATAATGGCACATCTGTCACCATCCATCACTAATGTTTCTCAAGTGTCAAATGCCTCTGTAATGACTGAACGAGCTGTCATTTAGTAAGGTTTAACTTTCCTCATAATTATTGAGCCTATAGGAAGGATACGTGTGTTTGGAGCATGTGTGGTGGGCAAACACAGACAGGCTGAGGAATTTGGAATCTGCAGGAGCATATTTTTATTAGTCGGGCAGCGGGCTGTCCTGTCTCAGCATGCTTTGTGTGTGTGTGTGTGTGTGTGTGTGAGTGAAAGGCAATAATGTAACACAAGTGTGCATTTTTTCTATCGTTTGTGCTCTATCCTTTACACTGCGGGTGGAAAGCAGTAAAAGTAACTGCGTCCTAATTAGATTTAGACACAGTTTACGGTGCGCGCCGGTGTCCTGTGCCCCGCCATCACTCACTAGTGCGCTAATAATACGTATTATTGACAACAGCAACGGTTAGGCCTCTCCTCACTTGGCCACGAGTCTGAGCCTGGAGTGTGGAGGGCCGAGGGAGGGGTCCGTCAGAGGAGGTCCGGGGGAGGAGAGGGGAGAGAAAGTGAGGAGAGTTCTCTGGGGGAAAGAGCCAAACATCTTCTGAGATAAAGGGATACTCTCCTGCTCTGCGCCTCCTTTCCGTCCACCAACAATTGCACACGGTCACTCCGGAGTACAGGGACCGCGGGCCGCTCTTATCGAGCGCCATATGCGCACGCGCTCCTAATTGGCAGCTGTTGGAGCGCACTAAGTGTTGTGCGTAAAGCCCCGTGTGCGTGAAGCAGGTGTCCAGCGGAGGGTCGGCGTGACCAGGTACTGGTGCTCCGTGATGGAGCCCAAACATATATGGAAGCTGATGCATCAAACTTGGCTGCTGTTGCTGCTGGTGACGCTCCCCGCATCCAGGGCAGGTGAGACGCGCTAAAGCAAAAAGGAACAGGACTTAACTGACCTGACCTCCGTTGGATTAGATGGTGATTGTCTAAATTCAGCATTAGTTTGCTGACGTCTCTTATTGTTTCTACTATTAGCGGGAAGATATGAACTGATTGATCGTGCCTCTATTTATGCAGTTTATTACGCTACTGTTGAAGTAAAGAGACTATTTCAGCAATTAAAAGAGCGACGACTTAACGCGATTTTAATTTAGTCAAGTGCATATGAGTTATCTGTTTTTCCAATTATTAGGCTGCTTAATTTGGTAGAATAATGACCGGAGTAAATATGAATCATGTTTTTGCATCAGAAGGATGTTTGTGAAGAAGAGTTGATGACTTCCTATGCACAGGAATCCCCAGGTGCTAGTTGAGCATAAATGATTTTTTTTCTGACTGTTTAAACAATGATTTACGAAATAAGACATATTGTCATTAATTGTTATTTGTCAAATAGGCTAAAGGCTCTTACGCCATTGAGACTCAAATGATGTCATGCTTGAGTAAAGGAGAACGTAGTAAATAGTGCAATGAAATGTAGGAAATGGTAAATTGTTGGACTAAGTCAATTTCCTTTCTTGACCCTGACAGATTTGGTTATACCTTGTCATTAAGTCTAATCTCTCTGACTTGAACCTGCTTCTCTGAGCTGCAGAGGCCTCGCTCATCACTTAGTGAAAGGTTTAGACTTCTTTGTCTGGACTTGTCCCTCCATACCTGCATTAGCCTGAGTGCATAGAGCAGCATACAGCAGGGGAACAAGGGCAGCAGGACCACAGCTAGTCAAAGGAGCTATGCTGCCTGCAGCGGTCTCTGTACAGTCTGGAGTTTCTCTGCACTCATATGGACCTCATCTTTCAGAGACTGGTAGTGTGAGGCTCACAGTGCTTTGGGACTTTCACAAAACATGTCTTTGAACTTGGGTATCTGCTTAAATTCACACTGAGGTGTATATAACCATAGATTTCGAAGTGACTGACAAGTTAAAATTGTAGGCAGTGTGGTTGGTAAGACCTATGAGTATTATTAAATCTTTTCTTTTTCCAGACTAGTACATTTTCATTAAAGGTTGTATTTAATGTTGATTGAGGCCAAATAGTTGAGCCCAGGTGGCAGACACGTGGGCACATTGCACCCACCTGCTCACACTGACCTTCTGCATAAGGCATATCACACACATACTGCTGATCACCAGCTCATCAGGAACACACAGACTTCTGGACTTATTTTTGCTCTTTTTTTCTTAATGTGTTTGTTCCACTTTGACCAGCTCATCTGTCAAGGACATTAGTGCAGTGACTAATTTGACCTTTGAGTCTTCAGGGTCACATGGGGTCAGAGTGTAAAGCCTCCAGTGCCGCCCACACCTGGCAGGCAGAATAACACACTTAAAGGCCCCACAAACTGGGCACATGACCTGGAAGCAAACCCCACTTTGTGCATTAACCTGGTGCTTTCTTAAAGACACTGTATTCACTTTTTAAATTTGTTTATTTTTATTGCACTAAAAACATAGAAAACGTGTCCTCCCTGTGAGCTTACATTGACTCTTGTTTGGCCTGTAGGAGGGCCTCCTCTGTGTGTTTCCATGGAAATGTTGTCCCTTTGGCTATAATATTCATCTATTAAATGGATAACATTATGTATGACTAATTCATTTTCAATCATTACTCAGTAACTGTAGTCTTATACACAGAATGATGATAATTGGTCAATTGAAAGGCTTCAATTATAGTATAATGTCCTCATCAGCAAGCTAAATGGAGTCTTAAATAGTGGGTGTGTAGGGATCAGTTCCACTCACAAGTTCTGTAACAGGCATAATAATATAATAAAACGTGTCTGTTTCAAGGAGAATGGTGTTAACTTTCCATTTCAATGGTGTCTTGCAGGTGATGCACAAAGTGACATATTGTACCCCTAAGGGAATAGTGGCTGTAAATGTGAGTGTGGTAACTGCCCTCCAGTGGTGTGATGACACTGTCAGTTGTTGATGTCTTGTTTATTGTTGCACACCTGGATGCCTCTGTCCAGTGTGAGTTATGATCTGACTGGTCTCAAAAATGTAACTCGGTCAGGGGTGTCACAGTCTGGCCTCAGGTGCTTCAGCACAAATATTTCCAGGCAGTTGCTCAAAGTATTGCAATTAGATTTGTGATCTTTTTATAGATCAATTGATTCAGTTCACATGTACTTGAAGGCACCCAGATCTAAACTAATTCAAGAGCCACCTGCATTACAGAACTTGAGTGGGTTTGACCCCTACACTCCCCCTAATATTTAGTTTGCTGCTGAGAACATTATGCTAATTGAAGTCTTTGCAGTTTACTAATTATCACCATTCTGTTAAGTGTATACGCTACTGTTACTTACAATGATGGATACTGAATATGCCTTACGTAATGTAATTCATTAAATAGATGAAACCGGATGAACATAACAAAAACAAGAAGAGAACTGGCTGCATCTACCACACAGCACATGTGTGGACCACATGTATGTGCCCCACTAGCATTGCACATCCACCCTTCTTAACCTTGGTTCATAGTATTGCTGTTGTTATCTCTCTGCCATTAGCACTAAATGCATTAACCCGCAGTCTACAGCTCCATGGCTGTCCTGCTACTTAAATATATGACCAACTACTATATTCTTTGAGGCATTTGGCATTATATAGTGAAGCAAAAAAAAAAAAGCTTTCTAAAGTATGTTATGATGTTGTAACCCCATCAAAACTGACCTTATCTTTAATTTGTACATGTTTGTGTAATCATACACAGTCCCTCTCGTAGTCAGTTTCTGTTGCTATATTTCTGTATTTTATTTGTATTTGAACATACATTTGTATAATTTTGCCTTATTTAACACCACTCTCTTGCTATTCTTGCTAATTATTTAGAATGTATTATTGCCATTTATATTTTTTTCTCTTTGTTATCATAATATATTGAGATGTGTGACCTACTGTGTCCAAATGATTTCCCTTGTGGGTCTATAAAGTTTATCTAAGTCACACACGTCATTCTCCATGAAGTGTCTTTGTCTTTTTGAAATTCCAGACATTTGTCATTGTCCCATTTGGCCCTACTCCCATTTGGCACCATTTTCTTTGAACTCGTTTAACTCTTTTAAAT